CCCGCTCTCGGAGCTGGACGGCCTCAGCGATGCAGCGAGCCGCCGCCGTCCCGTGCTGATGGAGTGGACGCTCGCACGCACGCTCGCCGTCAGCTGCCATCGGGCCGGGCTCTGTAGGAGCCCGCCGGCTTTTGTGACGCTCTGACAGACGCGGATTGAGAGAATTGATGTGGGTGGCTGCAATGTGTTCGGCTGCCGGATGTTGGTCACACACGGTCCGATCAATGAGGTTGACAACGCTCAGAAAGAGTGTCTTGGGTATTGTTTAGACCAGCATGTAGCCGCCGTATGTGCTGCGCTGCAACGGAATGGTGGTATATGGGTGATGTTTTCCTTTACTTGTAGTTACTGCCATGTGCGCGGGACGCACCATAATATGGGGGGGGGGAGGGGTGGGAAAGATATTTCAGAAAATGATAGTAGACCTAAGATGGAGCGTGACCAGCGGCGAATGGAAACGTCAGAGGCTACCGTAATACCAGACGAGCTATCACGTTTATAACCAGCACGCTTCACGGTAACAAATCCTCCAACTACAAAACATGCCCAAACCTCGCATTTCACTGATCTTACCTACTTACGATAGGTAACATCGAAGTTGTTATTTTATTATCGTTACTAATTCCAACGGCTATTAAATACCGCCCTTGGATTATTCTTCTGATGCTATCGGAACCTATTCATATCGGCCGTATGCGCCTAGGCAGATCTGGGTCGGGCCGGGTCGAGCTCTAGTCCGGTCTCACCACCTTTTGTGACCCGAACGTAACTTCACCGGCTCATTTTACAGAAGAATCAGGCTCGGGCTCACACCAATCATGTCATAGGAATACTTGATCTTTAAGATACAAAATTTAAGCGCTTGGTCTTTGCCTCCATGTGTTGGTTGCCTCCGCTGGCTGTCCGGCGCCGTCAGCGCACTGTCAGCCTGTAACCTCGGGCCGGTTGTGCCGCGGCCCCAGGGCGCTGGAGCCGGAGCCGGGCTGCGCGCCGGGGCTGCCGGGCGACGAGCTGCTGGCGGCCGCCGCGCCCGACGGGGACGTGCTGCTCGGCTGCCGGCTGCTGCTGCCGGCGCCGCTGCTGCCCCCGACCGCCCGGCCGTCGCCACCGCTGCCGCCGCCGCAGGGCATGCGTGACCTGCAGGTCAGGGGGAGCGCGACCCCTCGGAAGGGCCGCACCGGCGGCCGGCTCCCGAGTGCCAGGTCTGGAGGGTGATGCGGGCTGGGCTGGGCGACTGGGCGTGGCGCGCTGAACGCTGCACGGTGTCGGCCGTCGGGCCAGGCCGTGCTCCTCGACCCTGTTCGTGACCCTGCGAACGCTGCTGTTGTGAATTCTGTCGCCGGTGTCGACCGCTGCGGTGCGATAGCGTGCGTGGCTGCCGTGACTGCCGATCCATTTTGGCGTCATGCCAATTTTGCCAGTCGTAGTCGTGATTATGTCGCACTCTGGGGAATAGCTGGCCGCCCCAATTAAATGCATTATGTTGTATTGTGTATTCTGGTATCCATGGGCTGATATGCAATCGCGCCGCCGAATGTTCATGTGACTCGTCTAGTAATTTAACCAACTGCACCGTCGTCTCACGGGTGTACGGCGGCACGACCGGACAACGTTGTGCCCCCCCCCCCCCCGAACGGCTCATCTTCCCCCTCACCCTCGTCCGCTCTCGCAGGACCCGTTGCTGAACGAGCATGACGAGCCGCTGCCCGATGACGAGTTCACCGACTGGGAGCCGACGCCGACGGCGGCCAACTCGCCGACGGCGCCCGAGGTCATGGTGCCGGAGCCGGATCTGCGGCCGGTCGAGCTGCCGGCGCCGCTGCGGCCGGTCGAGCTACCGGCGCCGCTGCGGCTCGCCGAGCTGAGCGCGCCTCCAGAGGACGTCGGCCAGCCGCTGGGGACCGGCGCCGCGCGGCGGGGCACGGAGGCGGAGGGCAGGAGCCGGCCGAGAGACCCTGCGGTCCGGCTGGCTGGTAGTCGGTCCCGTGCAGGCGGGCCGAGAGACTCTCCTCCGGTCCAGCTGGCCGATGGTCGGTCCCCTGCAGGCCGGCCGAGAGACCCTGCGGTCCGGCTGGCTGGTGGTCGGGTGCCAGCACCAACGGTCACCACCAGTGGTACTGTGATTGCGGCTGGAGTCGCCACTGCTGCTGATAGGGCCTCGGCACTAGCGACCAGCAAATGTGGTGATACCCCTGCACTGACCGATACCGGTGGTGGTAGGACCACTGCGTTAACTGTCACCGGTGGTGATAGGACCACTGCGTTAACCGTCACCGGTGGTGATAGGACCACCGCGTTAACCGTCACCGGTGGCAGTGGTGGCGAGAGATCTCCACCAGCCAATGCCAGTGGGATCAAAGCCTCCGTTCCAGCCGCACTTTCTGGCCTTGGTCTTTGCGCTGCCGGCAGCTCAGCGTCAGCGCGGATCAATGAGGACCTGCTGTCAGGTCATTCTGCGGGAAGTCAGGTGCCAGCTCCCTCTGGCTCGGCATTTGTCGGAACGGATACGTTTTCGGGCTTCAGCATGGCACCAGCAAGGTCCGAAGGTCCCAGGGGCAGTGGTGGATCTGCAAACCTGACAGCAGCAAGCTCCGCTGACGAAGTCGTTAAACTGGCCAGGTGCGCTGCGGCTACAGCTCCGCCACGCACCTCCACCGACGGAGGAGTCACCCGGGCTGCCGGCCCGTCTGCTGACGATGGCTGTCCGACACCTGTGTCCAGCGAGACTGTCCTCGCCGCTTCCTCTCCGAGTCCCCGCCGTTCCGTTCTCCCGGCCGAGACCGAGATGGTCCTGCCTGCTGCCGCCGCTCCCCCTGCCATCACCGACCCCCGCCAGACCGGCGCGTCCCCTGCGGACGGCCCGGACGAGGAGGCGCTGGATCGTGACCCGGCTGGGGAGGGCCGGCGGGCAGCCGCCGACGGTCGGCAGGAGCAGGGCGGCGCTCGAGACGGGTCGGCGCACCAGCGGCTGATGGGTGGCGAGAACGGCGGCCGCTGGACTGGAGTAGGAAGTGCTCAGGTAGAGCTCGGTGGCGGTTCGTCACCGGAAGGCGACGGCCGCCAGACGACGTTAAACCTTCAGAGGACGCCGGACGGCAGCGATGATGGTCGGTGTGGACATGTCCCGCACGAGATGCAAGCGTTGGGCCCCTCTAGCACCGGACACGTCGGGGGCTGCCCAGACGATCCGCTCCCAGCACATGGCCAACCTCGGCGGCCGGCGTCCGATGAGACTAACTTGGGCCGACCAGGCATGGGTGCGGCCGGCGCACCGACCGCCGTCATGGCAGGGTGTCGAGTGGCGGCTGACATCAGTCGGGGTGCTGTTGTGGAAACAGCGGCAGTCACTGCGATCGCCAGGCGCAGCCCGGTGGCGGCGAGGCAGCTGGACGCGGCGAGGCGACGGCTGGGCTGGAGCGCCCCGCTGGCGGCGGAGGACGTGACGCCGGACGCTCGGCGGGCTCCTGGAGCGAGCCAGTCAGCCGCCGTCGGCGCCGCGGGCACGGCGCTGAGAGCGGCGTCGCCCGCCACGGCAGTCTGCCCGGCAGAGGTGGGATACACTCCATCAGACGTGTTGTCTCCCGGCCCGCCGCTGGCGGAGCGGGCGCAGAGGGCCGACTGGGATCGCCTGACCGTCATCTCGCCGTCTCACGGTGCGCTGCCGCCGCCTCCGCCCGCGCGGCCAGACCGGAGCGCGGCCGGCGCGGCCGGGCCGTCTCCCCGGCTGCTCTGCTCTCGCGGCCCTGCGCCGGAGCTCCCTCCGCGGGGCGAGGCGTCTCCGGGTCAGGCGGCGTGCCGCTCCCGCACGCCGCCGGCGGACCGTTCGTCGCCAAGCGTTGGCATCGAGCCGGACCAAGCAGCGGCGGGGCACGGCCAGCGGCGCCCGACCAGCATCTTCAGCCCCTCGTGCCGGCTGATCTGGGACGGCGGGCCGCTGGCGACGTCCGGGGGAACCTCGTTGCCGCCCACAGAAGGCTCCGGTTGGCCAGCATCACCTGCCGCGCCAGAGGCGTGTTCGCTGCAGGAGGGACCGGCGTCTCGGCGACGGCCGCGCGGAGAGGAGCGCTCAGAGTCGCCGCGACGGGCCCAGGTGAAGAGCGCGGTGGACGACGCTCCGTGTCAGGCCACCCGCCCGCAGCAGCCGCCGCAGCGGCGCGGCTTAGACACGGTACCGCCAGTGGCATTGAGCCCGCCCGCCGAAGCGCAGCAGGTACGGCTGCAGAGTCCAGCAGGCCCCTCGGATGCCAACGCCGGCCTCCGAAAGCATGGTGATCTCGCACCGCCAGAGCTACGGCCCAGTCGGGCAACAGATACATGCGAACTGTCGCTGATGACTGGCATCGAGCCACACTGGCCTGGTCCCCATCAGCTCCCGCCGCCAAGAGCCGAGCGCACGGCGTCTGTGAGCGCTGTTGTCCGGCCTCCCGGCTCATCGCTGCGTCCCGGCCGCCAGCCGGACGCTGCCGGGCCACCTCCGAAGGCTCCTCACCTCTCTTGGTCGCCGCAGCGCCCCGTATTGGCGGGCGACACGGGACGAATGACACTAGAGAGCTCCGCAGGTGATACGGCCACCGCTGACCGGAGCGTCCTAGCCAGCGCCGGTGGACCGGCTCCAGAGCAGTGCGTGCCGGCGTCGACGCCTCAAACCGGCGCTGGCGGCTTCTTGGCGGCGCTGGCCGCCCGGGTGAAAAGCAGGGCCGAGCGTGCGCGGCCGTCGCCGCGGCTGCGCGAGCTGCTGCTGACGGGGCGCGCGGCGCGCCGCGGCCAGCCTCGGACCGCCGGACGCTCCCTGCTGGACCGCGCGCTCAAGGCCGGCCCGGCCGTCGGCGCCGAGCGCGCCCGCACCGCCCTACACGGCGCGCTATCGAGAAGCGCGCCCTGGGAGCGTGGCCGAACTAACTGCGTGCCGGTCGGCGCGGCCGCCGACCACCCGTCGGGGGCGGGCGCCGAGCGAGGTCGCCCAGCACTGGACGCGTCACTCCGCGGTGGCGGACCGGACGGCGGCCGCCAGACCTTCTCCGAGGGCGACCCTCTCGCTGGGTCTGCGGCGGGAGGCGCCAGCCACACGGAGGTGGCCGTCACTCTGGACGGTGAGTGGTCGCGGTCCTCCCCCGTCCGGCAGTGTTCCAATATTCGGCCAACTTGAGTGGCAGGGATGTCATTATTTTTCATGCTATCATACCCCGGATTCGGGCTCACTGCCTGTAGCCCCTCCCTTTGCTCAAAATCGTTCAATCAGCATCGAACCGGGCGGCCGTCAAACCAGGATCTACGAGCCTCAGGGTTGACAAATGGGCTCAGTAGGTCAGATGTCTAGTTCGGAGTGAAAGGGCAACGGATTAGCGCCAACGAATTGCGTGCGGGAACCGCCGGAGAGCCAGGTAGCATGAATTTGTATTTACATCCTGCACACCCTACTGGGTGAACTTTGGAACGCTGCCGTCCGGTTCAGGTCAGGCATGCGGCCTGTGCTTCGAGGTCGTTTGGGTTAGTCGAATACCAGCGCCGGAAGATATGATTTAAGCGCCGCTGAAAATGATATTGAAGCATTCCGTAGTCATTACGACCGAGGCTTTTACAGGTGTCCGGTCGCGCAGAACTTGATGGAGCATTGCATTGGTCGTCAGCGGGATGTGCCTGTTGGTAAGCAGCTGGTAACAGGTAGCGCCAAGTCCTCCATGTTTGCAGCAAACACTACGCGCTGCCTGGCGGTTCTGGTCGATTTCGGAGAGGGGCTGATGGAACCGCTCCAGATGAACCAACGCTTCATCGACGTGATGCCAGACACAACCCGCCTAGTCCTCAAGCAGATGTGCGATGAGGTCAAGGACTCCCTTCCGTCTGCAGGTAACGCCCTCACCCCAGCCTCGAATGTCGGCCGGAGGCTGTCAACAGCAGTCCACTCGGCTGTGATCAGGCCAGCCATGAGTGACCTCTGTTCGTCAGGCACGCCTGAGGGCTGCCGGCGAGACGCACGCGTGGCTCCATCAACCCCGGACGCGCTGTGTTGCCGCCGGTGCGCGTGCGTTTGTGTTCCGCGACTCCTGTGTGCTCGGCAGACAAACCCACCTCCGCGTGTATTGTCTTGATGTGTGCGTGCGGCTTGTGGTCATGGCTGTCTGGTCCGTGCGGTCGCGATGTGGAGCATGTCTCCTTCGGTACATGCTTTGTGCTCATGCAAGGTGTTCCACCTCACTCCGTGCTCTAGTCAGAACCTACCGCTGCAATGGTTCACCAAGGTGGCCATTTAGAGCGTCCCACCGACGTTGCTTTACTAGGAGGCCTCGCCAGGCTGTTCAGCCGGGGTGTCCTCTTTGTGTGACGTGGTCTCGTCAGTTAAGATGACCCGGCACGCGGCCGCCAGAGCGAGCCGGCCTGCTGCGACGGTACCGACACACGCTGGCCGTCCACGGCCTGGCCAAGGCCCGCCAGCTGACTGCCCACCTGTCCGCCGGCGCAGCCGCCGAACAACTGCGACAGTTCTCACGCACACACGCCGACATCCTGCAGGGTAAGCGGACCTCGGCTGCGACAGTTCTCCCGCACACACGCTGTCATGGAGGGTAAGCAGACCCCGGCTGCGACAGTTCTCCCGCACACACGCTGTCATGGAGGGTAAGCAGACCCCGGCTGCGACAGTTCTCCCGCACACACGCCGTCACCCAGCAGGGTAGGCGGCGCCAGGCTACGACAGTTCTCCCGCACACACGTCGTCGTCCAGCAGGGGTTAGCAGACCCCGGCTGCGACAGTTCTCCCGCACACACGCCGTCATCCAGCAGGGTAGGCGGCGCCAGGCTGCAACAGTTCTCCCGCACATACATTAACGTGCTGCATGGTAAGCGACCCCGGCTGCCATTGTTTTTCCTTATCTCAAAGTGGTTAACAGCTTGATGCTTAAGTGCAAATGAATGACCGTTTCGGAGCGACCTGATGTTTGCCGTGCATAAGCAAATACTGGGATTGACGCAAACGTTCTTTCAGATGAAAGCTTTGGTGTGTTGCATCATGGTGGAAAGACAATCCGAATGGTCGAAGTAAATAAAACAATGACTCGCAGAGAAAGGAGTGAATGGGCTCTGATATTTCCAAATGACAATGGCTTTGTTTTCGGCCTGCATGTGCAAGCGATAGTAGGCATCATCATCGTGACTTTCATGGTCTAGTTATTGTCTCCAGTGAAAATAATCGGTGCATTTCCAGCGTTTTTTTTTTAAGCTATTTCATCATGAACAGAGCTCGCATGAGGTCATTCTATGCGATGATTACCACGACATTGCAGTGTAATGGCCACCGTCAACAAAGGCCTTCGACCATGGCTGCTGTAAGCTGGAACCCGTGCATATTTTAGTTTTTAATCGATGCACCCCGTGCCTCCAATGACCCCTACTTTTCGTTCTGTCCAGCTCCACCTCAAAACGGATGGGCCGCCGGTATGCAGGGGCAACGACACCCCTGGGCATCGTAAGGTGCTCTGCCGCCGGTCGGCTGGCCCCCGGGCACGGCAGTCGTATGGACGTCCCCCCTCCCCCGGGCACGACAGTCGTACAGACGTCCCCCCTCCCCCGGGCACGGCAGTCGTATGGACGTCCCCCCTCCCCCGGGCACGACAGTCGTATGGACGTCCCCCCTCCCCCGGGCACGACAGTCGTATGGACGTTCCCGCCCCCCCCCCCCCCTTCAGGCCGGCAGTAGCCACTCGGCCCTTTCCTTCCCTGGAGAGGCTACTGCCACACAGCGTAAGGCCGTGCTCTGGTCGGTCTGGCTGGGGAGAGGGGGGGGGGGGGGGGGCAGGGCTTCTGGCAGTAACTCGGCCTCAGACGTGTCACGCGGCCGCGCAGCCCGCCAGACGTGACTCTCGCCCCTCAGCACGCCCCGCGCCACTGCCGCACGGCCGCCGCCCGCCTCCCGTGTCTCGGTCCTGCCGCCTGACCGGTCGCCGCGTTCGGCCAGGGGCGCTGGAGGGGACGGTCGCCGCCCTGGAGGCGGCACTGGCGGCCGCGCCGTGCCGACACCCTCGGCTGACGGCTCTCGTCTCGGCGCTGGTCCGGGCCGGCGACACCCAATGTCACACGCCGACGGTAGGACCGGCATGCCGTCATGTGATGTTGTTAGGCTGGGAATTATGTCACTGACTGACAGCGAGCTAGGAGTGAAGTTGCAGGCCTGAGGTAGGCTGTAGATGACGTCACAGACTATTGGCAGGGTACAAACGGTGTCACATGCTGTGTGTAGGTCGTAGACGATGTTGCCGGCCAAAAATACGAGAGAAAGGGGTGTTGGGACATTACTTTTTGACATGGAAATCCTTGCAGTTGAGTCACTATGTTGTTCCGGCTCTTTGCCAGCGGAACTGCAAATTGCAATTTTCGCCACTCAAGACCGTCGGGGTGACCCACACTGCTGGGCTGAATGCATGTTCTTCGTGACCTGCTCGGTTTTCTCACTTTGGCAATGGTAAGCCAAAAAGCCGCAAATGTTTTCCAGCACCAATGCTGTTCAAATATGTTATTCCTGACCTGCATTTTCTTTGGTTTTGACGAAGATGGCGCTTACTGGATGCCCCGCGGCTCGACGTCAGGTCACTAGCTCAGCCGGCCGGCGTTCCAGGTGCTGGTGGTAGCGGAGCCGGGCTCGGACGTGCTGCTGGACGAGTTGCGGACCGCGCTGGGCGAGTTACCCTGGACGAGGCTCGTCCACCTGGCGCCGGACGAGTCTGACGAACGAGTGCGCGCAGCGTGAGCGACTGTACTGGCCGCGGATGCTGCCGGCTCGGGGGGCCCAAACGCGTGGCAGGGTGGTGACGCACGCGTGCGGTGGAGCGGCGAAAATTTTGGGATGTCCGGCAGGAGATGTCCGATATTCCCACTCAGACTCGGACCGGCTCTACACCTCCCCGCCAATACGTGCTTACCTCGCTCTCCGGGTTCCTCCCGCCTGCAGCCATGTCCCTGCTACCCCGACCTTTGTCCCCGCCACCCTGACCTGCGCTCCTTCCGTCTCAACCGCCCGCAGACTGAAGCAGCACAGCGTGGCGGTGGTGGCCGGCGCCGGGCCGGCCTGGTCTTTGGCACCGTTTTCGCTGGTGGTGCCACTGCTGACAGGCGCGGCCGCCTCCCTGCTGGAGCGCTGCCGCAGGGCCGGGGTCGCTTCGCTGGCGCTGCCCGTGCGCCTGGACTGGACGGCCGTGCAGCGACACGCGCCGTCCAGCAGAGGTCAGCCGGCATCGCTCGGCCCCGCCGGGTCACGGCCCGGGGCCGGTGGGTGTAGAGGTCAGCCGGCACCGCTCGGCCCGCCAGGTCAGGGCCCTGGGCCGGTGGGTGTTGAGGTCAGCCGGCACCGCTCGGCCCCGCCAGGTCAGGGCCCGGGGCCGGTGAGTGTAGAGGTCAGCGGGCACCGCTCGGCCCCGCCGGGTCAGGGCCTGGGGCCGGTGAGTGTAGAGGTCAGCCGGCACCGCTCGGCCCCGCCGGGTCCGGGCCCTGGGCCGGTGAGTGTAGAGGTCAGCCGGCACCGCTCGGCCCCGCCGGGTCAGGGCCCTGGGCCGGTGAGGGTAGAGGTCAGCCGGCACCGCTCAGCCCCGCCAGGTCAGGGCCTGGGGCCGGTGGGTGTTGAGGTCAGCCGGCACCGCTCGGCCCCGCCAGGTCAGGGCCCTGGGCCGGTGGGGGTAGAGGTCAGCCGGCACCGCTCGGCCCCGCCAGGTCAGGGCCCGGGGCCGGTGGGGGTAGAGGTCAGCGGGCACCGCTCGGCCCCGCCAGGTCAGGGCCCTGGGCCGGTGGGTGTTGAGGTCAGCCGGCACCGCTCGGCCCCGCCAGGTCAGGGCCTGGGGCCGGTGGGTGTAGAGGTCAGCGGGCACCGCTCGGCCCCGCCAGGTCCGGGCCCGGGGCCGGTGGGGGTAGAGGTCAGCCGGCACCGCTCGGCCCCGCCAGGTCAGGGCCTGGGGCCGGTGGGTGTTGAGGTCAGCCGGCACCGCTCGGCCCCGCCAGGTCAGGGCCTGGGGCCGGTGGGTGAAGAGGTCAGCCGGCACCGCTCGGCCCCGCCGGGTCAGGGCCTGGGGCCGGTGGGTGCCGTAGCGGCTCTGGCGCGCCGCTCAACTCGCTTCCTCATATGCACTGTCGGGAATTAGGGAAAAAAGGGCTGAATTTTTCGATGTCAAATGCAGTCTCCTCGGTAACCTCTTGTCCGCCCCTCCCCCCCCCCCCCCCCAGCCACCGCTCGCACTCGCCCGCGCGCCAATGTTCTGTGATTATGCTCGTTGTTCAGGCACAGACACTGCGCTTGCAATGCAGATGGTTCGCGTCGGGCGTAGAGGCCGGCAGCCCTGTTGATCGGGCTTGTTGCCGGCTGAACGGCACCAGTAACGGTTCGATTGGGCTAGAATCATGATGCCCTCTGGAATTTTCATGTTCTACATGCTAATTTGTTGTTTAGACAGCCAGCGCTAATAGCCTCATTTCTTTACTGATATTCGTTTCGATAATGGCGTGTTGCCGAAATATCAGTGTATCCATCTTTCCATTTGCGGGCTATTTTATGAGAAATTTGGATATTAGTACTGTCTTTTCTACATGCATAATGTTCCGCGTAAGTGCAATTGACATCTTACGTGGTTTGTGGTTACTTTGTGTGTCATATGCAACAACAAATATTGGTCCATTGGTCATTATACGCCCTTTGTGTCTAAAATCTCCAAATGTAATATTTAAAACGTGAATCCCGAGCACACCTTGCAACGTTTCTACCCGCCCATCGGTTTTAACCTTGCTGAAATTTGAGGTGAAGCGGTAGTCAGGCGTCAGATTATTCCGATATCTGTAATAAGGGCCATCCTGGCGAGACCATGCCCGTTATCTTCCTTTGATCGTTTTGGACAATGTTTGCCGAATCGGAGGGAGGGGGGGGGGGGGGGAGATTCATTGTCGACCTGGTCAGAGCGTGGCGCACATTCAGTTTTCTTCACTACTACCGCATGTTAAAGCGACCGAGTCATCACGTAGGCCTTTATTGTTTGTTCCTTCGGTATGTTCGGCAAACGTAACATGATTGTATAATCGGCGTTGTGCCCGATATCACCTATCAGCACATTATCCCCAAAAAATTTGCTTGGTATTAAGCATTTTGAAACGGGAACTTATAAGGCTTATAAACGGCCCTAAAGAGACTATCAGATTATAAAGGCGGCTTGAAGCGGGGACTAAAAAGATATATGTGAACAGATTTCTTCCACACAGAGGGCTTCAGCTGTGAACCTCGTACGGCTCCGCTGTGGTGTTTGACAACCCAGTGGCATGGGTTTAACGAGGCGGCATGGGTCGGTTTTGCGGTAGAGTAGGACAGGTCTTCTCGCGTACTTGAGCCACCATTGCGCCGGACATATCTCCCTAGCGTGCAACGAGGTCATGGTGGAAAAACGGCGTCACTTCACCGTGATTTGTAATGCGCAACTCATGCATACCAGTTTCGCCATTTTAGGCGAAACCAGCACCATGTCGAAAATTATGTGCCCATGCAAACGTGCTTGAATTTATCCCTCTCCAAAACAGCAGCTGTAGCGCAGCTAACTCACTCCAACTGTATTCAGCCGCGGGGGATCAAAGCAATGAACCGGCCGTCAGACGCTGCTGCCGGCCTGTGGCCGGCGGCGGCGGCGGCGGCGGCGCCGGTCCGCCAACCATCTGCGTGGTGGCCTGCTCGGAGGCGGCGCACCGCTGGCACCTGCGCCGGCTCGAGGTCCTCTCTGGGCACACCGTCACTGTGCACACCCGGCACTACCGGTACGGAGCGGCCGCAAGAGCCGGGTCGGGCCGGACGGCCGGACGGCCGGCCAGCCGGCCAGGGCAGCCGTGGACGCTCGAGGATCGGTGATAGCCGGCATATATATATATATATATATATATATATATATATATATATATATATATGCGTGCGTGTGTCGCGTATGCCTGTGTGTGCATGTCTAACTGTAGCACAATGGCCTTGCTGGTGGGAAGGGGGGGGGGGGGGGCAGCAACGTGTCGTGGTTGGCCGCGGCCACTGCCGGTAGTCGTATATTTTGTCGGGAGTTTTGCTAGTGCGGCGAATTGTACAATAGGCGACTGACTACCGGCGGTCACGACGGGCTTGCTCACGCCAGTTGACTTCAGCCGGGGCGCTGTCAAGTGTTACGACTCGCTGCTGCTCGTGTGTTGCATTGCCACGACTCCCGTTACCCTCCCCGTGTCGCCCCCTCCCCTTCCCGTGTCACCACAGCTCCCCTGTGCGCCCGTCAGGGGGGTGCTCGGGCCGGCGGCGGCTGACCGGTCGTGGCCGGACCTGGTGCTGGCCGCTGACACCTGCCTGATGGTGCGGCCGCTTGTGGAGCTCGCCATGCCGGCCGCCGCCGACCGGCTGGCGGCGCATGTGCGCGCACTTCGCGAGCAGAGCGCCCTCTGCTGGCTGCTGGTGGTGGGCCGCAACAGAGCCGCCGCCGTCGCCACCGCCGAGTCACGGTCAGAACACATCGCACCAGGTGTGATGACTCTGTGTGAATGGGACACACGGCATGGGACGGATACGCTCAGTCTTTTTTCCTTTAACCTCGAATGTGAGACATAGGTGGGCGCATAATAGACGTGGGTGGGCATTGGATACGTCATCATCGGTGCTGGAGGGGGAGGGCGATGCCTACCCCACCCTTTCTTAAGCAGCATAAAAACTAGAGCTTACCACCAACCTGCGTTGCATCTACCAAAAATATAATGTGTCGATGAAACCAGCAGCCTGCCAGAGTGTCCAGCACCTTGTTGAGCAGCAGCCGGGCGAAGTCCGGCCGCCGGTCCACTGCAGTCGCCGTCGTGCTTCATCGCACTGGGCGCTCGCGGCACGGCTGGGCCAGCTTCGAGGGGCACAGATACAGATACAGATGCAGGTGCAGATACAGATGCAGCCCTGTCGTGAGGCTCATCTGCAGCAGGCTGCGACTGTTACAGCCGCTCGACTAAACACAAATATTGTTATTCTGAGAGGCTACACCCACCCGCAGTCACCTTGTAACATACAGGCCACAGCCATATGAAATTCGGCACGGTCTGGACATCGATGGGGAAAAGGCTCTATACTTCTCCCATCGCGAAGTATGGAGGGTGTGGAGGTGCGCCTTCGTGCATTCGTATAATTTGTTTTCGCTTAGCAGGTCCCTACATTGTTCAAGCTCGGGCCGTAGCCCAGCCAACATAACAATAGCCCATTCAGCGGAGGGGCGCCGCCGCGCACGGAAGGACACGAAGCATGAAATGTCGTGAAAGGAACCGGACCGGGGACATTCCGCACGTCTGCAGCTTGACATGTGTGCCCGGCGATCCGACGAACTTTGCGATATTAAATTGAGTTATGTCAGGAAGCTAGCGTCATCGATTAGCGTAACTTGTCGCGCGTCCAACGCTTCGGCGACCTTCCAGTCCTGTCATCGTGGTCGTAAATACGCTGCAATGCTCGTGCTTCAAATGGTGCCTCGTAAATTTTTTATCGTTCCCGCATGAGAAAGTTGATGGCCTTCATACTGGACGTTTTCATTTGTGCATGCTCCTCATGCATCTTCCATTGTTGACCTTGTTTCACCCTAGACTGCTTTCCTTACGGCACCTTGAACCGACTTGCAAGACACCATCACTCAGGCGTCATTCTCTGAAACTTCCGTAGCTCCGTAGCTTCCGTCGCGTCACTGAGAGCAGGCAGCGTGGGGCAGATCTGTCCATCGGCTTCCAGAGCGAGCCGGCCAACGAGCGGTGCCCAGCCGCCGCCGGCTTATACTGGGGATAAGAGTGGGGATAAATACTCGGAAAACCTGCAGCATTGTAAGCCTGCTACCTACAGCATTTCGGTTGTCATGCTATCGTGAACGTGGAAGGTCATAACGTCCACGAGCTGTGTGACATCAAGATGAAGATATTCGGTCGATCATCATGACGGTATTCTTTACATCATGTCTTGTGTTGTCACGGACCACAACGCATTATTCATGATGACATTTTTACCCTTGACGTAAATGCCACCCCAGGGAAGAGCGTTGAACATCCACGCACGCCGACAGTTGTTTGGTTTTGCGGCCTTGCCAGGCTCGGCCTGGCTCAGCGAGAGTTCTGTTGCGCTGCTGCCGTGCGCCGCGCCGTGGTGAACTGCGGCATTGGTCGTGACCGCTTCCGGCGCGGCCAGCGTGTTCACTGTTTGGCTGGGCGAAACAGGCGCCTGGCGTGCGTGACGCCCGGCCCTTGCAACGCGCAATGACTGGCGATGTTGCTACGGTGACGGCGACCGCCGGCCCCGTGTCCAGGGAACGTCACTGATAGCGACCGTCGCGCCGCTCAAATAGCCTCAGGTCGTTGCGGTCTTGATGAGCGAGCGGGGATCGAGGGTCGTCGGCGATGCTGTCGCCGTCTGGTGCGGCCGGCCGCCGTCTGTTCCGGTCCGGTCCGGTCCGGTCGGGTTCGGTCCGGTCCGGTCAGGTCCGGTCCGGTCGGGTCCGGTCCGGTCCGGTCGGGTCGGGTCGGGTCGGGTCGGGTCGGGTCGGGTCGGGTCGGGTCGGGTCGGGTCGGTTCGGTTTGGTTCGGTTTGGTCCAGTTCGGTCCGGTCCGGTCCGGTCCGGTCCGGTCCGGTCCGGTCCGGTTCCTCACCGCACCGCTCCGGCGTCTGACGGGGTGGTGTGTTCCAGACGGGAGGAGACGGCGCTGGCTCGGCTCCGGTCTCTGCTGGCGCCCGCCTGCCAGCTGCCGGAGTACACGGTCCGGATGGTGTACGCCGACCCGGACAGCGCGATTCACATCATCCTGGATATCCTGCTGGCGCCGGCCGGGGTGAGCCATTCAGATTCACCACTCCTCCGCTCGTGCCCGTGATGTTCGGGCCTTTCTCGGCGAGCGGTGTTGTGGCCGTCAGCCATGAGTGCGCCTCGCCTCTGGCTGAGAGGCCCGTCCTGGCCCCCTGCCGCGTCAGGAGTCCCAACCACAGCGTGAAGACTCGTTGGTGGCTGGTGACCGCGATGGCCGCGGTGTTACCCCAGCCCGTGCCCCTGCTCTTCATGCGGGCCTGTAATGGGACAAATTCGCCGCTAGCACAGGTGAACCCTGGTCTGCCCGCACGGACACTACCGATGGCCAGTCGCGCCAGTCACGGAATCAATCTGCCACTAGCACAGGTGAACCCTGGTCTGCCCGCACGGACACTACCGATGGCCAGTCACGGAATCAGCTAAACCCCGCCGCTGGCGCTGCCGTGATCCAACTGACTGCATTCGTCCTCGGGCTGTGTAGGCTTGTGGACGTGCACGGCTCTTAATTCAACAGGCACGGAGATCAGTCGTTCCCATAGCTTCATAGCAGCTGGGCTCGCTCCCTTTCTGTTTCGTCCATGTAAAAGTGACGGGGCCCAGCCCTTTGAACGCCGATATCAGCGGCCGTTGCGCCCAGCTCCGACACTGTCCGTCTGCGGCGATAGCGCCGTCATAAGCTCCATGCGGCGGCGGCGATGTGTTGTCACCGCGCTGCTGTCCCGTCCCGCGTGACGTTGCGACGCTCCGTGCCCGGCTCAGGAGGCCGCCGCCGGCGCCCGGCTCGCACCAGCGCGGCCGGCCGCCGTCTGCGGCGCGGAGGAGCGCCAGCTGCTGCGACTGCCGCAGCTGAACGCGCTGTCTGCTGCGCTGCTGCTGCGCCGCTGTGGCGGTTTGGCGGCGCTGCGCGGCCGGCCGCTCGCCCGCCTGGTGCAGGAGCTGCCCGAGCTGCCCGTGCGGATCCTGGCGCGACTGCAGCGCCACCTGCAGACGCCGCGGGACAGGTCAGCGCCGTCCGCAGACCATGGTTGGCCGCACTGAGTTGGCTTCGCGCAGCTCGTGTTGTTGACGGTCCCTGCCATTCCCAGGCGTGCGTAAAGCGCTGCTTAAGCTAGGATTACTTTTGATGCGCAGGATAGTGCTAGATATGATAGGAACCTTCGGAGCTTTATCGGATATTGTCACGTTGTTCCATCCAAATAAAATTATGCCGTTCGCTTAGTCCAGTCAGGCACTGTTACGTTGGCTCACTACTAAGCACGTTGTACGTTGTTTCTTTAAGAGTGGCCTTCGGGGTGATCTTATGCGACATCTTATCATGGAAGACAGCTCAGAACAACTTAACCTGTCGCAGTATTGTATGATCAGAGTTTTCGACTGCACCCTGCCACCGAGGTCTGGCCGTCAAAATTATTACCGGACTTGTTTTCGACTACGATGCCACATTAACCCAGTCCAAGCGCCCGGAGGCGATGCGGCAGTCTCCTTCCGCGTGTGACAGACCACCTGCTGCACCACAGCACGGCTGCTCCGGACGTCACGCCAGGAGACGCCGAGGCGGCGCTGTCAGGAGGAGCTGCCCCCTGCAGCCGGCCGTACGGTGGTGGTGGCGACGGCGGTGGCCGGTGCGACACCTCTGACGCGGCCGATGCCCCGGGCTGGAGTCGGAGGGACGGCGCCGGGGAGACGCCAGACCAGCGTCGTAGGAGCGCCCCTGACGCCGCTGACGACGACGACCGCCGGCCGACCGGACTGCTTCACCCGGCGCCGTCCAGCCCGTACCACCTCCCCGGCCCGGACACCGGCCTCGGGACGACTGGTGCCGGCCTGACGGCCTGGAGACCGTGTGGGGAGACCTCAGAGGCCTGGAGACCGGGCGGGGGGACCTCAGGTGCCTGGAGACCGGGCGGAGAAGCTCAGGAAACCTGGGAGACCTGACGGGGAGACCTCAGATTCCTGGGAACCGGACGGGGAGGCTCGGGAGGCCTGGAGACCGGGTGGGGAGACCTCAGGTGCCTGGAGACCGGGCGGGGAAACTCAGGAGACCTGGGAACCGGACGTGCACGACGCCCCTGACGGTTGGCTGCCGGACGGGGAGGCGTCTGATGATTGGCTGCGAGCTCCCATCACGGCCGACGAGCTGCTGGAGGAGGCGCGCAGGAACGGCCGGCGCGCGTGGGGCCTGAACGAAGACGTGGCCGACTGCTACGACGGTACGCACCGTCAACCGGCCACTGCCGCCATCGCTGTATGCATAGCAATCTGCTTCCACGGAGTACGACTGTAACGCCGCGAACGCTCTGTACACGGCTTCCATTCTCGAGTGAAAGACTGCGGTTCGTCAATGTTACGTTCGCCACACAGGCACGGTACAGAGGCCTCTCTCATGCGACCTTTGCACCTCGGTGGATCCGCGGGCGGACCGGCCGGCCTATACGCCGGACCCGCCGCCCAGCGGCACCGCCGACTATCCACACAGCCTCAGGGACGCTTGGCGTGGAAGTCGGAGCCGACCCCTGGGACCGTGCCCCTGCCGCGCCTGATCCCCGCGTCAGCCGCCTGTGAGCGACCGGCGCGATCCCAGGCGACCCCCAAATAATCCCAGATTAGCCGGCGTCGCTCACGCCGCAGAGCGATCACCGCCATCGGCTGTTGGCGCCTGCACGATACAGGTCCTAGTGCCAGTCATCCGTAGTCCTGTCGACCCCTCCACATAGCCACGTGGCGAGAGTTCAGTTCGCAGCGTCGGAAGTCCAGCCGCGACGGCCAGACGCTTGGGCCCACGCCGGAGAATCGAGTGGCCTGATAGGCGGCGCTCTGCGCCCGGCCGACCGAACATACGAGGCGCACGTACCGCGGCCGGATGTCGCGCAGGAGGCCGGACCGCCGTCCGGAATACGCAGACCCGGCACCGACTGGTCGGGCCGAGCGCTGCCCGACGCCGATCGCCCGTGCCGAGCACAGCCCGGCGTCGGCCGGCCGAATCGACACGCAGCGCTACTCCGTGCGCCGGGCGGGTCAGCGACCGGCTCGACTGTAACAACACCCCTCTGCTGTGGCGACGCTGTGCCACGTCTCATGCGCTAAACAGTGAACCGAGCGTTTAGCGAGAGAATCTCACGATTGCGCTTCGTTCGACGCCACGCGCCCCGTTCCGCAGGCTGATGGCGGCTTACCGCTGTTCCAGACTCGCCTCCGATAGAGACCAGCCAGTGACGCCGCCGGCCCCAGGCACCGGCACTCGGTTGAGACCCGGTGCATTCCCGAGTGCTGCCGCCACAGCGCCTTCTGCCGAACTACACAGGACAGATGACCTTTGTTATCTGCGTATTGCTCAGTACTGACGTTCGAGCTTACTCGAGTTGAACGAAGTTGACTCGTTTTTCTTAAATACAGTTCCTTAAAAATACCGCATGTCTTTTCCAACATGGTAAATGTGGACTCAGGAATACAGAGGCATTGCAAAGATTGGTTTGCCAAGACCAGGGAATGGAGGCGCTTCCCGCAGTTGAGGAGGCCGGTAGCTGTTTTTGGTTATTCCTTTCCAGATCATAGGGTTAAGCTTTCGAAAAAAGGCTCAGAAACCTGCCTTCCTACCTCCGTTCCCGTGCCCCCGTTTGGCTCCCGTGACTACGTCCACGGGTGGTGGGCCGCTTATGTCATCACGGTCGCCGCTAGATGTTACGCGCCCGGCTCGCTGGTCATATTCATTTGCCACTAGCAGTTTAGTTGTCGGTACGAAGACAGCTCGATGTTTCTGCCGGCCTGTTGTGAAAAAGCCTCGTATGTGCGCGTATGTGCTGTTTGGCGTATAGGCTTCCACAGCATATCATCATATTCGTCATAAAATTATGAGCAGTCGGCTCGTTGGCCATATGCACCTTCAACTGGCAGATTTTTTCATTGTCTGCACGAATATTTCGATGTTCCGTTTGTCACTCAGCATAAAGTGCGGCGCCTCGCGGCCCGCCGCGCGTTGAAGTCTTGACACCAGTGACGTCATACTAAGGTCAAAACGAAGATGAAATGAGAATTACTGGACGGTTTTATCCAGGGCAATACAACACCGTTTTATCCATCTTACCAAGGCGGTAGAACATTCTCGCAGGGTTTCCATCGGAGCGTGGTTCTCCGAGGCCCTACTCCAAGTTGGGCGGCTTTAAGAGGTTTTAGGTAAATTTAGGATCGTTGTTGTTAGAGGAAGACAACATCGAACGTCTAACTTGCTATGGAGTTGTGACATGCTCGATGCGTGATGGAACTCGCCAAAATGTGTTTGAGTTGGCGCCTAGGAATTGTCGCGCTGTTACGGGAGAGTCCCACTACTTGTCTGGAGTACACGGTGAAATTACTTGTGTGGATTGATTCTATGTATGCTTTGAGAATTTCAGGGCTATATTTTCTTTTAAGCCTGGGGGTGGCACATCTCCAAGTCTGTAAGAGCATTTGGTTAACTGGAGAGTAGCCTGTAGCCCTTTTTCTCAGCGCTGCCACTCCAAAAGTATTTTTATTTTGTGTTACACCTATGAATGCCTTTTTAAAGGTCTTAGCATTATCAGGCTGAGTGAGTCTATCTCTATCTCTGTGTTTCTTCTCTCTCCCTCCCTCTCTGTCAGTGGTACAGCACATGTCAACTGCCTTGAAGCTGCTGTCAGCCACATTCAGTAATAGATGTGAAATTATTTCATGATAGCATTTCAGAATACAGCTGTTTATTTAAAGTTACTCCTTATGATCTCATGTCAGTAATGCATGATCAAAGGCAGTAGGAGTTCTGCCCAGGTAGATAGGAAGGCAGATGGATATGGGGTTATTTCATGCACAGGTATCACAGGGCAGGCCTAAGATGCCAGCTTTGGGGAGGATTTATGAAGCTTTTGTGATAGGAGCATTGCCTGCTGGGGGTCACCAAATTCTTAAGTGATGCTTTGGTATACAAATCATATTTTGCTCACTTCAATCTTGAGTGTTCTCAGATTTTGCTTTGTAAAAGTGATTAAATTTTCTTGAAAGTCTAGAACTATATCATTTTTGCCCAGTTCAAAGTCTAGAAATGTATCATTTTTGCCCAATTTGGTCATCTAGAAGTGGGGCAGTTATGTCTTGGTTCCCTCTAGTGGTTCCACCTTTTAAGGTAACCCACCTTTGCTTCTGATTAGGGCTGTATGGGGGACATCTTTAAGGTTAGGCCATCAGCTGTTAAGAAGACAAGAAAAAGGATGCTGTTCAAGTGCTTATAAAGGGCTGTCAGGATCAAATTGATTGCACTTTCTTGTGTTTCTTAAAACTCCATCTCTGTTCTGAGCCCTGCTCAATGGCAAATGTCCTTCTAATCCCACCTTTCATGCATAATCACAATCATTTCTCTGCTATAAGGAAATCTGTTATACTTACTGCATGCTCCTTACCCTTATCTTAGGATACCAGGGATTCTGGCAGCATGTATCAGACCTTAAAATCTTAAACCCATCATATGATATGTTACATGAGTTGGATGCTTTTGGAAAGCTTCTTTACAAGTCTTACCCAGGTTATCAGAAAAGTCTGTGGATGATGTAAACAATTAGTGCATGTATGATTGTGCAGACATGAATGGGAAGATGGGCATGGTTAATGGGTGTAGTTAAGGTGAATGAATGTTCTCTGCAAGCCTTCTAGCATAGTTGAAATTGCTGTGTGATAATTTACATTGGTACACTTAACATGGCCATTGTGTGGTAATCAAGTGTTTGAGGGGCACCAAGCTATATGTGCTAACTGGGGTCATTTTTCCAGGGAGCCAGCCAATTTTGTGCTGTAGCTTCTAATATTTACAGTGAGTCTCCTAGGAAGGGAGGCATGATGCCTTTAATGAATAAGCATGATCTGAAGTTGCATTGAACACCCTAGAAATACAGAAGTTCATGAAGTGTGTATTTATAGGCAAATTTCATATATCAAATGTAGGCCAGTGTCAGTGAAAAGTGCCATTAAATAGATGCACCAAATATATATCCAATGGTACCATGGGTGCTAAAATTAACTTTTCAAGTGTGTGTGTGTGTCTAAAGACAAAAGGACAAAAGCTTGTGGAACCATTGAGCCTTTGAAACACATCCAGTTTTGAAAGCACTGTATGTATTAAATACTGTGAGCTTTTAAGCTCTTGAGCCCCTGAAATCATTAAACTCCTAAAGCCTAGAGATTGATCAACTTCACAAATAATTGAACTGGCATAAAAGTTGTGGTTTTGATCAGCATTTCACAGTCACAATTGCTCATGACTTAAAGAACAGGCCGGCTTTCTTAAGGGAACATGACACATGTAGTCACATCTCTGTTATTGGGTGCCAGGTGATTGAATTGGTCATGAGCAGGCAGGGGTCATGGTCCAACCAGCATTCAAATCCCCCCCCCCCCCCCAACATGGGAGTCCGAGGTGCTAACCATTCGGATATTATGCCTTCAAGAGCAGACTGTGTGCTGGGTCAAGATACCACTGCAATTTTGCTGCATTACATGCAATCAGATACACATGCTTCCATTCGCTCACATCGTGCTCCGTCACCCCACAGAAACGGGCTGCAGCGTCACAATGCCGATCCACGGCTATGACTTCAGGGTCATGGAAAAGAAGTTGACATGCCCATTCAATCCAGCACATCAGGTCACCGACATGCAGAAGCATCTGACCCGCTGCTCCTCTGTAAGTGGTCCGCGAATGCCCCTCGTCCTTCCATGTGACAGCGTCGGGCGCTGCGTAATGTCGGAAAGGAAATAGCTGAGACGTGGGCGTTCCCGCGCTCGTATTAACTGTGCCCGACTCCGCGTGGCTAGCTGGCTGATAGTTTGGTACTGGAAGTACTTTTGTAAGCTTGCCCACCACTAAGCCCGGCGGGACGTACGAGAGTATCCGCGTGGCAAAACGTCCCAGATGTTCTGCTGTCCTGCTCCCGTTGTCCCCCGATGCTCTGTGTGGTATGGCCCGTAAACGGCGTCCAGCAGCAGCCGCGAGCGTCAGCCGGCGCTTCTGTTGCCGACAGTACAACAAGGACGTCTCAATCAAGAAGTGCCCCTTCAACGCGACGCACTGGGTGCGCGAGCCCGAGTTCCGTCACCACCTGGACCGGTGTCCGGACAAGGCGCCTGTGGACCGGCACGTGCTGGCGCAGCGAGCGGGTGAGTGATCCAGCTTAGCTCGGCCGCGGCCGGGATCTCGCGCCCTTCGGGTCGTCTACGGTCCTGGAACCCGGCACAGGCTGGATTGTACTCGCCCCCGGTGGAAGTAGGGTTGATATGTGGTGCTGTTGGTGTTTCAGCTGTCTGCTGATTATGTGACAGCTATCGCTGACATCTTAGACTGAAGGGAGTCAAATGTTGCTGTTCACATTTGCGCGGCGCCCCGACTGACCGAGCGCCCGTCGGCCAGCGCAGGCAGCTCAGACGGCTCCTCGGGAGACCTGACAATGCCCGTCACCTGGGCGGCACGCAACGACCCCGTGCAGAACAACGTCGACGGTTGGGGCGACCAGCTGGACGACGACTGGGACGTGGAAGTCAGCAACCTACCGCGTCACATGCGCACCAAATACGACCCGCAGACCGCCACGGAGAACCGCGAGATCTTCCGCATGCCGACCGAGCACCGCGGCAAGTCGGCGCGCAACAAGTTCCGGCAGGAGAACGTCAGCAGGGCGCGTGCCATCCAGAGCGGCAGGTGAGTGCGAGGAGCGCGCTCCGTCTGCCGTCAGTGCCGGTGCGCTGACCAGGGTCGCGGTGGTGAGCCGGTCGGCTCGCCCGGACAGAACGCGACCTGTGACGAGGGACGGTAGCTGCGGGGCTCGTGGCAGACTCCGGAGGTTTGGTTAGCGATGTGAAAACTCGCTCAAAAATGTGGTTCTTACAAGCTGTTATTTGAATATAAGCGGTAACAGAAGTATGCTGACTTGTTAGGACGGCGCCAAGTACGTAGGTACAAATAACCAGTGCAGTTGACGCGCCTGTGAAACCCAATAACCAACGGGCTTAATAACGAGGACAGTGCCGAAGTGACGACGGCCCGCAACACAAATTCTAATGGACGTTCTGGTGGAAAATCGATGGATCGCACAGCACGGAAGTGGGTTGCCATGTGATTTTTACCGCACATGTCACGCAGGGACAGCTGGCAGACCTTGGACTGCTAAAGGTAGTAACCGCAGTCTGGAGAGAACGAACGAGCCATGACCCGGATGTCGGTCACCCAACCATGAATGCTCGCCGACACTGAAATGCTTTAGTGTGAGAGGAGCTGAGGGGAGCAAGATATCGAAGGTGACGGAGCACTGGAGTCGAGGGTTTGCGTCGGGGGATCGCCATATAACACGATAGACGATGCCTGTAATCGGACAAGGTTCCACCCACGGTGTCATTACAGTAACTAAATGACTGTGACGCGGCGGTCCATGATGACCTTGTACCGCCACAGGGGCTGGTGCAAACGTGCCGCCGGCGCCTGCCCACGGGCCCGGTGCTTCTGACCACCGGTGCCCGGCCCGGTGTTTCCGACCGCGTTCCACCTGCGTCCACAGCGTGGTGGACGCGTCCGAGGCGAGCTCGACGGTGGCGCCCTCCACGTCGTCGGTTGGCGCACGTCGGCGGCCCACCACCAACCCGCTCTGCTGCCCCACGGCCACGGTCAACATCAACCCGAGCCTGGGCATGGGGCGCTCGCGGCGACCGGCCGCCGCGCCGCTGCCGGTCGGCGTCGACGGCGGCGAGGTGCGCCCCCCGCGGCCGCCGATGGTCGGCCGCGGCCGCGGCGCTGCCTCGGCCCTGCTCCAGCTCCAGACGCCAGGCGTACGCGTCGGCGGCGCCATCGGCGGTGATGGCGGCGATGGCGACGGCGGCGACGGCGACCGACACTAGCGGCCCCGGCGCGCCGCCGCTGCCGCCGCGGGTCACGAGGTGAGCTCGCGGGAGGGGGGCACCGGCTATTAGTGACGTCACTCGGCTGTGGGGGTCGGGACGGCGGGTCGTAGAATGCCCGGTCCGGATCCTGTCGTTGGTGGCTGCTGTGCGAACTGGGACGAGCGTCTGGAATCTGTGCGCGGGCCTGGTGAGTGCGGGGAGGTTATAGCTCGCAGTGCCGACGAGCTTTGATTTCGCCGCGCGCAGGTGACGGCATGTAGCGGTCCGCGACAAGCGGTTATAGCCAAACCCCATTGCCGCGCGTATCGACTACCATGAGCCGTTCACGTAACAACACCTGCGTGCAATCCACATGCATGCCATTTGGCCGGCTGGCTCCAGCGGCACGGCTCCGACCCACGGGCCAAGGAGCTCCGCTTTCTCGCAGCACGCCCGGCCACCGCACATGCCTATGCTCGGGGGAGGGGGCCACCCTGTCCGTGACCGCCGCGCCTGACGTCGCCCTGTCGCCGCCAGGTGGCTCGTGTCGGAGGTGCTCGGCGCGCCGGCCAGGCAGCCTGGGAGAGATGCTCGGCCCAGTCAAGCGCTGCGATCACCGTCGTCTTTCATTAGCTCGTTATCCCCCGGCCTGCGTGGCGGCACGGTGCTTTGTGTGACGGACGGAGGGCGCGGATTGGTTCTGCTCTCCGAAGCCAGTGTGCTGCGCCCAGACAGCCTGCCTGCCGGCGCACGATCGTAGTCATAGCCAGTGGATATGTTTTGTAAGACCCAGATGACGCCATGTTTGTACGTCGTGACATCGCCCGAAAGCGCGTAAGGTTTGGAAACGGGAAGGGGGGGGTGGGTGGATAGTGTTAGATGTGAGTACGGTAGATGCAGCAGATCTACGGAAAATGAGGGCGCGGTAGATGTAGCAAAAGCACTGAAGACGGGAGTCACAGAAGACGTTAGAAGCACAGAGGACGTCTAACATAGTAGAGGCACAGAAGACGTCCAACATAGTAGAAGCACAGAAGACGTCTAACATAGTAGAAGCACAGAGGACGTCTAGCATAGTAGAGGCACAGAAGACGTCCAACATAGTAGAAGCACAGAAGACGTCTAACATAGTAGAGGCACAGAAGACGTCTAACGTCTAATCCGAGTACGAAGGTCTGAAGGAACAAAAACCACCAGGAAGTCCACGGAGCGCTTCTGAGTGATTATGTTACACACTCGCTGTCATAGCACAGCTTGAAACTCCGAGTGTTGGCAATGTAATGCATGTTTTCTCTATGACGTCATTTAACCGCGCCTCTCGGTATATTGAGGGTCGATAGCTCGGCACGTGAACTCGGAGCCCGGCGCCGAACACAGGGCTGAAGTTTCCTACCCAGTTGGGGGAGGAGGCTGAAGTACAAGTCGAATTTCTGCCCCCCCCCCCCTCCCCACCCCCAGCTTTGGGAAGATAATTGGTTGAATCTGGAGAGTAATCTATTGGCGTGTTGGAGGTAGGTTGCATCATTTTCCCCTGACCGGCCCCAAGCTCATTGTGCGGAACTACACCACTGGCAGCATAACCAGAAGGTTATGGACTCCCTCGTTGATATCAAGCATCGTAGTTTCGTGGCTGGCACGGGTTCACGGAATGAGGGCATTTGGGGGGGGGGGGGGTTCCACAATGCTTACGCAGGTTCAGTGTCGACACAGTTGCGCAACAGACACTGACCGCTGTCATGCTGCCGCCCTGCGTAACATCCCCCCCCCCCATTCCCAACGCAAGGCACCGGGGATGCTGGGCCCGCGCGCCGTCGTGCAGCCGACGAGGGCCGGGTAATGTTGCGAAACAGTTTATGCCTTTATTTTGTCGTCATATTTAGGCTCTTATGTAGCAGCTCTCCCCGAAGGCTTCCAGAGAATATTTTGGTTCCGTCCTGCCCCGTCTGATAGCATCATGAGCTGTCTAGCATCACGCTCCGTCTAGTCCCGTCTGATAGCATCATGCTCAGCCCTGCCCCGTCTGATAGCATCATGCTCCGTCCTGCCCCGTCTGATAGCATCATGCTCCGCCCTGCCCCGTCTGACTAGCATCATACTCCGTCCTGTCCCGTCCGATAGCATCATGTTCCGTCTAGTCCCGTCTGATAGCATCATGCTCCGGCCTGTCCCGTCCGATAGCATCATGCTCAGTCCTGCCCCATCTGATAGCATCATGCTCAGTCCTGCCCCGTCTGATAGCATCAATAGCATCATGCTCCGTCTAGTCCCGTCTGATAGCGTCATTCTCCGTCTAGTCCCGTCTGATAGCATCATGCTCCGTCCTGTCCCGTCCGATAGCATCATGCTATGTCCTGCCCCGTCTGATAGCATCATGCTCCGTCCTTTCACGTCCGATAGCATCATGTTCCGTCTAGTCCCGTCTGATAGCATCATGCTCCGGCCTGTCCCGTCCGATAGCATCATGCTCAGTCCTGCCCCATCTGATAGCATCATGCTCAGTCCTGCCCCGTCTGATGGCATCATGCTCCGTCCTGTCCCGTCCGATAGCATCATGCTCCGTCTAGTCCCGTCTGATAGCATCACGCTCCGTCCTGTCCCGTCTGATAGCATCATGCTCCGTCCTGTCCCGTCTGATAGCATCACGCTCCGTCCTGTCCCATCTGATAGCATCATGCTCCGTCCTGTCCCGTCCGAAAGCATCATGCTCCGTCTAGTCCCGTCTGATAGCATCACGCTCCGTCTAGTCCCGTCTGATCTCGTCTGGATTTGGCACTGTTCTGTCCCGTCCAGTTTCTTCCGATGCTGTCTGTTTGCATTCCTTCACACGTGGCTCTGTCTGGTGCTGCCCGGTCCGGACGGTCCCACGTGGTCCCATGTGGTCTCGCCCGGTTCCAACCGATCCGGTCCGATGTCACCCGTTCTCGTCTGGTCCATTCTGATGTGGTCTGATCCCATGCGGTTCCTCCCACTCCCGTCCCGTCCCACCTACTCCCATCCAGTTTAATGGATATGACCACAGCCTGAGCCGCCTTCATGCCAGGCGCCAATCCTGATGACTTTTGTTATAAATGACATGGTTAACTGGTACTTTCCGCTCATCCGCGCTGGCTTTATCCCTGGCGATGCTTTCTTTCGACGTATTCGGTTTATATCTGACTGTCAACTGCATTTCTATGCCCCGGCAGTTATCACTTGTCTCGTATTGGACTTGCAACCCTGTCGATTTCCATCCCCGTCGATTTTTACCATTCGACTTTCTGTCCGGGAACCCATCTTGCCGTTCCATCCGCGAACATTCGATACCGTTCCATACACACACATTCGGCACCGTTCCATCCGGGCAGATTCGGTACCGCCCCATGTCCGCCCAAAGGCGGCTGCCGAAACTGTTCGCACCTAGGGCTGCCTGGGGTTAAACGCCATCGGATAAATGGGCTGCCGCGGGAGGAACATTACACCTGCGACTGCACACGCAGTTATCATGCATACATCCGCGCCCAAGGTCAGCGCAGGCAAGAAGGTATCCAAGAGTTCGAAAACGTGACAGCTGGCAGGAAGCCATGAACCCACAAACACGCGTGTCTCTGCATGAAAGACCGGCTTGTGATCATTTTTATTGGGTCGCGGGTGGCTCGCGAATGTTGATGCCGATGATGATGCCGAATGCCATTCGTGAGCCGCAGGTGGCTCGCGAATGTTGATGCCGAAGTCGGCCGCGGCACGGTTCCTCGCAAGGTACGTAAAAAATGATTAAATACTGTTCTCAAGAATGTTTTGTTTATTAAATTCGAAATACGAGCAGACGAACACAGCGGGTCACTCCTACTCAGCGCCACGCTCTCAAGCGACGTCGTGAGAGGCCTGTTAAAATCACCCTGAGGTAACTAGCGCTTCTCCAAACGCCAAGCACTGCGGACTCTCATCAAAACCGTCTGCGTCACACGCCCACCCAAGGGCCGTTTCGAGATCCTCCGGGCGCCAGATCGCCGCCTCTCCAGCCTGCCCAATATCCTATCTAACGGCGGCGGCAACGGCGGTGGTATCCGTCCGGCGCGAGACCCGCCGGCGTCGGTGTCAGTGCGCCGCCGCCGGCCCGGCCGCAGCCGCTGGCGGCGCCGTGCCGCCCTCCACCACCATCATCACGGAGTCTGGGTCGTCTGGATCGTCCATCTCCTGGGAGGCGTCGGTCAGCGCCAGCAGCTGCACCTGCGGCCGTATGCCCGGGGGTGAGGCCCGGCGCGCTTCGCGGCCGGTCGGCCCGCGTGGGACCGCGACCCTCGAGGCGGCGCTGGGCGGCTGGCAGCGAGCTTACAAACGGCGCTCCGCCGGCGCCGCATGCCACACATTCGTTGTGCCTGAACGTTTGGGCGGTGGCGCGCATTGTGCTGCTCTGGTACTTACTAGATGTCTAAAGGACGGGGTGAGGTCGAAACCAGCCAGCCGAGTAACCATCATGACAGCAAGGTCTAGCAACTGGGACGGAAGGGCCATGTCATCACATTTCATGGCGCTAGGGCAGGCATCTCGGAAAAGTCTTCAACTACACGCCATAATGTGTCCAATGTTATAAGTGTCAACCTGAAACGGCATTCATTGAGCGATGCATTCGGTGCACGCGAAGACCGTCCAGCTCGTCCATCAGCACGGGGGTCTCCCCAAGCCGCGCGCCGACCCGCGGCGGACCGTTCCCACCTGTTCGCCAGTGACGCAAACGAGCACGCGCGCGCCGGTGCCGAGCGCGACGCGTACGCGCTCAGGCAGGCGCAATTCGCGGCCGTCGTCGGTGGTGATTGTGTCGGGCACCTCTCCCTCGCCGCACGTCAGCGCCAGCACGTCCGGCTCGGCGGAGGCCGCGCCGGCGCCGGCTGGCTCGGCCGGCCCGCCCAGCACCTGTTCGGCCACGTCTAGCGACTCGTAGCGCAGCGTCTGCAGCCGGTACTGGCCGTCCTTGTCGCGCTTGTAGCTGAGAAGGGGGCGGAGGTCAGCGCGGCGGCGGCGAGAGGAGCGGTGGCAGGCAGTGGACCCGGACTGTCCCGGTTCAGGTGGGCATCCCACCGCGGGACCAGTCGCATTCAGAGGTTGGCAATTATAGCTAGATGAAACGGCAGCTGTTCGCATGTGGTATGCGTCATATTTTTGAAAATTAATTTCCTCAAATGCACACGTCTAAATGAATTAATGATGAGAAGCCCAGATCCTGACCAGAAATAGCAGAAACGAAATGTTAATCGCTGCCGTATCATCAAATGCAATCAATCCCGCAGCAGGCAGCCAATGCAGTCACATATATAGAAACCCCGTCCGACACCTCCAACGCCGCGACCTTCACATCAGACATTCAGTTCCCCCGCAGCGGACGTTCGACCGGGCGGACCACGGGCGGCGGGCGGCGGGCGGGCGGCGGACCTACTTGAAGCGGACGTGGCCCTGCGGCACGGCCAGGTGGTGGCGTCGCTTCAGGTGCTGGGTCAGCGTCAGGCCCTTGCCGTACTTGGCGTCGCACAGGTGGCAGCGGTACCAGGAGCGAGGCACGCCGGTGTGCTTCGTCTGAGGCGGAGACGATCAGGCGGGGACGTCAGCAGGGAGCGTTGGAGGCAGCCAGACAAGTCGACGGAGACGAGCAGACAGACACAGTAGCCGCGACAGCGTAACCAGACGGAAAGGGCAACAGCAACGGACGGCATATAATATTCAGAGATCTGGAGGGGCATGCACAACCTGGCGCGGAGGCCATTCGGGTGATCCAGACAACTAGCACGACTGCGACGACGCTAGCGCGGTGGTCAATCTGCGCGTCTGGACAACCAGAGATGTGGGGTTTGATTCCCGCGGTACCCGTCCTTTCTGCCAGGGTGAAAGGAAGCTGACGCCATACAGCCGCAGCTGCTGAGCGCGCCATAAAGCCCCACAAACTGACGCCGCTTTTCGATCGCGTGGCTATAAATGCCAGATGAGGAGGCCGATGAAACCCGCTGGTAACATGGTTCCAGTAAGTGACCGTCAGCCAGCCACACGGAAACAGTCTTGGAAAGCAAGTAGCAATGGGAGCGAAACAAGCCCGCAGGTGGTTCAGAGCACAGGGACAATGGCTGGCATGGTCGCAGGCGACAGGGACACGACCTAAGTACAGAGAACCACGGTACGGATATGAATCACAGAGCACGCATGGCAACCCACCACACCTACCTTCATGTGGATCTTGAGCCTACTGGGCTCGACGGTGCTGTATGGGCAGGTCGGACAGTAGGTGCGCCGGCTGGGGTCGTGCGTGAGCTCGTGCTTGTTTCTATCCCAGTCCGTTTTGAACCTGTCGGATCAGAAGGCAGTCGGCGGTGGGGTTTGTGTGGTCCGCTGGTTGACCTCGGGTCAGTGGTGCTACATGACGGTCCACGATGTGGCGTGTAGATACTTTACGTAGCGCGATTCCCGTTATGGGAGAGACCCTGGAAGCGCGGTGCGATTCTGAGCACTTGAAAACCCGAGGTCAGGTTCGAACAACGCTTTGGATTAAGAAAATTCTGAGCGGGGCCGATCGAGCATAACTTATCCCTGCAGCAAGACACGACACATGACCACCGCCGTAAGACCAGCTCGAGGGACCGGCTGGGGCGGGCGGACGCTGCCGGCACGCCAGCGCACCCACCCGCGCGAGCAGATGGAGCACGCGAAAGACGCTGCCTCAGAGTGTCTGAAGGCAATGTGCTTGTTGAGGCTGCCCGGGCTGGGACACGTCATGCCGCACACGGTGCAGCGGTAGTTGTTGATGTGGTTGCGGATGTGGTTCCGCAGCAGCCGCTCCGTCGCAAACCGCTTCAGACAGTGGCTGCACTGGTACTGCATATCTGGCGGACAGGCAGGCAGCTGGTACGAGTTCGATACCCCCCAGCTCTGTACAGGTTCTGACCCGGGGTTTCCATCGTTCTATAGCCACCCCTGTGCACAGAAGCCTGAAGCAGTGCGTGGAGCGTTCCGATAGGTCAACTGAGAAGCTGACACCCGGCTGTTGGCGCGTTTTCGCTCGCATTTTCGTCTGCCTTGGATCCATTTGTCATCAGGCGCTGTGCCCACGACGGGGCAAAGACACCATTTGACACATGATGCGGTAAGCAAGGTCTCAGGCTGGTGGGCGATGTTCTGCACGTTGCCTCTTGTGGCATGTATGGCCTTATACCTAACTATGGCTGGCCAAGCGCTGGACATTGTCATCCGGATAGTCACTCCTTGGGGAACTCCGGCGCCTCACACAACTACAATAGCGCAGGTGCGACATTTTCGTGGATTTCTGTGCATGTACTCATTTTTGTTCCCAATTATGCACTCGCAAATTATTTGCAGCATCCATCGTCCGTGTTAAAGACATTTTCGCATCGATTCTACAGGCATTGCACCACGGGCTTGCCATTCTGAACTGCAGTGGTTCCAGACAGCTCCATGTGACGTCATCACAACTTTTTTTTAGGGGGGGGGCTGACGTCAGCTGCTACGGACATAAGGTGAGTGTAGCTGATTGTAGCGATTGTCCCGATTGTAGCTGAGCGCCAATAGATTCGAGCATATCCATCAGTAACCCATGTAATTTCTAACCCACAAGACCCGCAGACACCGACACCGACGACACCGACACATGGACACTGACAGCGACACCGGCACATCGACATCGATACCGATAGCGACATCCGCGCACGGGCACGGGCACGGACACGGACACAAACACGGACACGGACAAACCAGCGCCCAGCCCTGGTGCCGCCGCACGGGGCGCTGCCGTACCTTCGACCGGCACCTGTCGGATGCAGTGGTCGAAGAACTTCTGGTTGCAGGAGAATAAGTTGCCGCACTTGGGACAAGCGGCCCATTTCTCCTGAGAGTGGGTGCGCACGTGCTCCTTCAGCCGGTACTGTATGGCCACTGTCAGGCTGCAGTCTGCCCGACAGAGGGAGCCAAGTTCGCGGTGGTGATCACGCCATGCATGCAGGCTCTGTCACACCTCCACGAGTCGCCACTTCGTCAGTCTTAATATCCTAAATCGATATTTAGGCACTGACCACTACTGACCCAAATGATCAACGGCCCAAAATGCACCACGTGCAAAACCATGGAAACGACTTTCTCTTTTTAGTTCCTATTGTGTATAGCTCAGAATTGGCATGCTCAGAACGTTAGAGCCAATATATCAGGAGTTACCCATAGAATTTCAGCTGACCATAGACAATTTCCTTAGTCAACACAACACCAGTGTGTACCTTACCACCAGATCTCCAAATTAAGTCTGCTGCCCTCAAAGACCAATTTTAGCACTAGCTTGCAGGCCAACCGTTGAAAACTGCGACACGACGGCCCCATCACCTCCGTCTTCTCCGACACGACTATCGCCACTACGGCACTGGTAAACCACCTTGCCAGAGGCACTTCAGGCTGGCTTGCGAGTTATCCTTGGCACTACGCTCGTAGTAGCAGTCGATGTGGTGCTCCACGTGCCAATAGTAGGCCTGCGGGTCGTCAAACTCTGTGTCGCAGCCATCCCACAGACACCTGCCGGCGTACGGGCGGGGCTCAGTACCACGCTCGTGTCTGACTCGGAGCTTCTGCCCGCCGGCGCGCGGCGAGCGCCGCCCTACAGACACCTCCCACTCGTGCCCAGTCGGGGTCCACCCGTAACCACTCTACAGCTGGAGGCCAAACACTCCAAGTACCACCGGTCAAACTCCCTGGACGGGACCCACCACATCATCACATCCCTCTCCACCTCTGGACTCTCCCCCGTCACCACAACCCTCTCCCTCTCTGGACTCTCCATCGTCATCACAACCCTCTCCCTCTCTGGACTCTCCCCCGTCACCACATCCCTCTCCCTCTCTGGACTCTCCCCCGTCACCACATCCCTCTCCTTCTCTGCACTCTCCCCCGTCATCACACCCCTCTCTGGACCCTCCTTCGTCACCACAACCCTCTCCTTCTCTGCACTCTCCCCCGTCACCACACCCCTCTCCCTCTCTGGACTCCCCTCCGTCATCACGATCCCTCCCTCTCTGGACTCTCCTCCGTCATCGCACCCCCTCCCTCTCTAGACTCCCCGTCACCACACCCCTCTTCCTCTCTGGACTCTCCCCCGTCACCACAACCCTCTCCCTCTCTGGACTCTCCCCCGTCACCACACCCTTCTCCCTCTCTGGACTCTCCCCGTCATCACGCCCCCCTCCCTCTCTGGATTCTCTCCCGCCACCATATCCCTCTCCCTCTCTGGACTTCCCCCCCCCCCCCCCGTCATCACATCCCTCTCCTTCTCTGAGCTTTCCCCGTCACCACATCCCTCTCCCTCTCTGGACTCTCCCCCGTCACCACAACCCTCTCCCTCTCTGGACTCTCCCCCGTCACCACATCCCTCTCCCTCTCTCGACTCTCCCCCGTCACCACATCCCTCTCCCTCTCAGGACTCTCCCCCGTCACCACACCCCTCTCCCTCTCTGGACTTCCCCCCCCCCCCCGTCATCACATCCCTCTCCTTCTCTGAGCTTCCCCCGTCACCACATCCCTCTCCCTCTCTGGACTCTCCCCCGTCATCACACCCCTCTCCTTCTCTGCACTCTCCCCCGTCATCACACCCCTCTCTGGACCCTCCTTCGTCACCACAACCCTCTCCTTCTCTGCACTCTCCCCCGTCACCACACCCCTCTCCCTCTCTGGACTCCCCTCCGTCATCACGCTCCTCCCTCTCTGGACTCTCCTCCGTCATCGCACCCCTCCCTCTCAGACCCCCCCCGTCACCACACCCCTCTTCCTCTCTGGACTCTCCCCCGTCACCAAACCCTCTCCCTCTCTGGACTCTCCCCGTCACCACATCCCTCTCCCTCTCTCGACTCTCCCCCGTCACCACATCCCTCCCCTCTCAGGACTCTCCCCCGTCACCACACCCCTCTCCCTCTCTGGACTCTTCCCCGTCACCACAACCCTCTCCCTCTCTGGACTCTCCTCCGTCATCACGCCCCCCTCCCTCTCTGGACTCTTCCCCGTTACCGCACCTCCCTCCCTCTCTGGACTCTCTCCCGCCACCCACATCCCTCTCCCTCTCTGGACTCCCCCCCCCCCGTCATCACATCCCTCTCCTTCTCTGAGCTTCCCCCGTCACCACATCCCTCTCCCTCCCTGGACTATACCCCGTCATCACACCCCTCTCCTTCTCTGCACTCTCCCCCGTCATCAAACCCCTCTCTGGACCCTCCTTCGTCACCACAACCCTCTCCTTCTCTGCACTCTCCCCCGTCACCACACCCCTCTCCCTCTCTGGACTCCCCTCCGTCATCACGCTCCCTCCCTCTCTGGACTCTCCTCCGTCATCGCACCCCCTCCCTCTCTAGACTCCCCGTCACCACACCCCTCTTCCTCTCTGGACTCTCCCCCGTCACCACAACCCTCTCCCTCTCTGGACTCTCCCCCGTCACCACACCCTTCTCCCTCTCTGGACTCTCCCCCGTCATCACGTCCCCTCCCTCTCTGGATTCTCTCCCGCCACCATATCCCCCTCCCTCTCTGGACTCCCCCCCCCCCGTCATCACATCCCTCTCCTTCTCTGAGCTTTCCCCGTCACCACATCCCTCTCCCTCCCTGGACTTCCAACCCCCCCCCCCTCCCTTGTCATCACATCCCTCTCCTTCTCTCAGATTCCCCCGTCAGCACACACCTCCCCCTGCCTGGACTCTCCCCCATCACCACACCCCTCTCCTTCTCTGCACTCTCCCCCGTCACCACACCCCTCTCTGAACTCTCCCCGTCACCACACCCCTCTCCTTCTCTGCACTCTCCCCCGTCACCACACCCCTCTCTGGACTCTCCTCCGTCACCATACCCCCTCCCTCTCTAGACTCCCCCCGTCACCGCACCCCTCTCCCTCTCTGGACTCTCCCTCGTCACCACACCCCTCTCCCTCTCTGGACTCTCCTCCGTCATCACGCCCCCGCCCCCTCTCTCTGGACTCTTCCCCTTCACCGCACCTCTCTCCCTCTTTGGACTTCTCCCGCTACCGCATCCCTCCCCCTCTCTGGACTTCCCCTTCCCCGCCACCACATTCTCTCCCTCTCTGGACTTCCACCCCCCCCCCCCCGTCATCACATCCCTCTCCTTCTCGGGCTTCCCCCGTCAGCACACCCCTCTCCCTGTCTGGACTCTCCCCCCATCACCACACCCCTCTCCTTCTCTGCACTCTCCCCCGTCACCACACCCCTCTCTGGACTCCCCTCCGTCATCACACCCCCCCTCTCTAGACTCTCCCGTCACCACACCCCTCTCCCTCTCTGGACTCTCCCCGGCCACCGCACCCCTCTCCTTCTCTGGACTCTCCTCCGTCGCCACATCCCTCTCCCTCTCTGAGCTCTTCCCGGTCAGCACACGACTCTCCCCTGTCGCCACATCCCCCTCCCTCTCTGGACTCTACTCCGTCCCCCACCACTTCCCCCTCCCGAGGCCAGACCCATCCCGTACCCGCTACACCTCTCTCTCATTGGAACAGACCAGACCAGACCAGACCAGACAAGACCAGACCAGACCAGAGCGGGCCAGACCAGACCGGACCGGACCAGGCCTGATCAGACCAGACTCGAGCAGCCCCGCCCGGCGACGCCCCACTACCGGTCTGCCTCTCGGAGCCGTGCCCGGCGGGCGGTCGGTGACTGACCTGAACGGGTCGGACAGCTCCGGCATCACATGCAGCTCGCCGCTGGCCAGCTGGCATGGCAGCATGTCATTGCGGCGCTGCACGTTGCGCGCGATGGCCGTCACCTTGCGGTGAAAGGCGTGGTATAGGATGTGACGCCGCAGCTCGCGCTGGTCGCTGGAGTAGTGGTCACAGTCCTCCCAGCGGCAGCGCACGTAGTCCGAGCCGTCGGCGCCTGCCGCATGGCGCCCAGTCCGGTCAGCATAGGTCAGGTCACACGGCCAAGTTGGGTCACATGGCTACATCATGTCATATGACCACGTCAACTCACAAGGCCAGGCCAGGCCAGGCCACACCAACAGTTCAGGTCAAATTATCAGGCCAGGTTACATAGCCACGTCAGGTCACACGGTCAGGTCATAAACCAGGTCAGGTCACAGGGCCACATCAGGGTCACATTACCAGGTCAGGTCACACAGCTAAGTCAGATTACATGACTAGGTCACATGGTCAGGTCAGGTCACATGCCACATTGGCTCACATGGTCACGTCAGGTCACACGGCCAGGTCGGGCCACCCAGCCAGGCAGTCAGCACGGATTACATGACCCAGTCCAGTCAGCGCAGGCCATAGGGCAAGAGGTCAGCACAGATCACATGGCTCTGCTCATTCAGCACAGGTCATGGGCAAAATGTCAGCATAAGTCATGGACACCAGGTCGGCGCGGGTCACGTGTGCCCGATCCTGCCAGCGAAAGTCACATGGCACTGCACAGATGACACGGCCTATGCAACCGCCCTTTCAGCAACGGCAACGTACGCTTTCTTTAACCATCGCCCTAATTCGACGCTTTTCATAACACGAATTGATCAGAATAGGGGGCTGCATCGACGCCCTTTCCCTTACAAGGGCGAGGGTTAAGCCATGCTCGACGGGGAGCTTCAACGGCCATTAAGATAGCTCCGTGGCTGCTGCTCACTTCCGTAGTCGACAGCGTGATTGTGCCACGCTGCAACACGTAAGGAAAGCAGCATAAAATGCCTTGGTGGGGCACATTCTGGGACTGTTCGGAGTAAAAACAACATGGAGAGAGAGCCCTGTCCGTGGGCACAACCACTGTTTCAACTTTTTGGCAGAGCATTTCAGGCATGGCCAGGGTCAACAAAGAACTTAGGTGCAACAGAAGAACAGAAAAGCATCGCATCCCAGCTACAGATAACGCACCGAGACGCTCATTCGGTCACAAACAGCACGCAGTACACGTTATCAAACCGACGTACCAATCCACGCCAGGGAGCACTTACTGAGCACTGGCACGTGTTCTCCAACATGACTGTTAAACAATTCCATTTTCTTTGAGGAGTACTTGCAGCCGTCCCAGCCACACTTCAAGTGAAGTTTTTCTTTGGTGCGTCTGGAGATCGTACGCAAAAAATACAAGTTACATTTGGACACTTGCATCTATGGGTGATAAAAGGACGCGGGGAGACACCTCCGATTTCCCTCAGTTGGCTGTGGTCTGCAGTATGCTGAACCGGCTCTACCTACTGGACCGGATCTCCCTACTGGATTGGCTTTACCTACCGGATCGGATCTCCCCACTGGATCGGACCTCCCTACTGGTCCGGATCCCCTACTTTCTACTGGATCGGACCCCCGATTGGATCGGATCTTCCTGCTGGATTGAACCCCCGATTGGATCGGATCTCCCTACTGGAAAAAGACATCCCCACTGGATCGGATCTCCCTACTGGATCGAACCCCCGATTGGATCGGATCTCCCTACTGAATCAGACATCCCACTGGATCGGATCTCCCAACTGGATCGAACCCCCGATTGGATCGGACCTCCCAGCGGGATCGAACCCCCAATTGGATCGGATCTTCCTGCTGGATAGAACCCCCGATTGGATCGGATCTCCCCACTGGATCAGACATCCCCACTGGATCTGATTATCCTCCTTAATCGGATCCCCCTACTGGATCGAATCTCCCAACTGAATCGGATCTCTCTTATGGATCGGATCTCCCCATCTTCCCACTAATTCCGAGAGAGCTTCATCCACTATGCCACAAAGGACCTTGAACCTATATAATTCAATGTACATCGCAAGTATTGGACACTAACACAAGGAAATAAAGCAGCACAGTATGAAACGTGCATGGTAAAGATATTTGTCCTTCTTACACCAACAGATACACTACAACTGTTTCGTGATTGAGTTAACAGACATGGAAAGCTCTTGACATGATGCAGTTATGATCAAATGGGTTTTGTCTTGCCCGATTGGTGTTATGAAAACAGATCCATCATTCAACATATCACGGGAACCAGTGCCACCTCACATTACACGACACATGTACTCACCTGATGCCAATCAGTTTGTGGGGCCTTGGCCTCCGGGACTCCGCGGATGGAGGCTTCTCTTCATCATCCGCCCCTGGGGGCGCACGTTTCCGGATTCGAAAGGGCATCTGTGCCTGGCTGGTTGACCCCTGCGAGCCAAGGACAATATTATCTTAATAAGCCCAACGGGATTCAACTCAGTGGGATGCGCGCATGCCCGGAATCACACGAACCAGTGGCGTCTTTTTGTCGCGTTTATAGCACGTTTCTTCCCGACAGCCACTCGCCCTTTTCGGTCCACGTTCTCCTCAGTGTTGTGTTCAACATAGGGAGAACAGGGGATAGACTATGCCTTTGTGGTAAAACTTCATATTGACCTTTGTACACGCAACACTTCTCGGACTGAATCGGGGTCGAATTCGGCTCTATTGGCTGACTGGATTCTGAATTGATTCACATGGTTCCCGACAGAACCGACACTGGTTTGATTCCATCTGGAAGATACCTGGTTCACACAATGATTCATCAAACTTCTGGGGCCTACGATGTGTTCTTCCCGGTGCAAAGTGAGCTACCCAGTTACTATGAACTAACCTTACATGTGACTTGGAAATCTGCGAACCTCTTGTCTTGTTATTAGAAATGCAAGGAATTGTACAGCAGGCTGAAGTTGCCAAGATGCCAAAACATTGAAGTTTGAAGGGCAAGTAAGTTTGTGTCCTATTACCCTAAACTTGCTGTTGTTTTGAAGACATCTTTAAAAAACATATGCTCTGTTCTGTTCTGTTCAAGCTATCATCCTTGTCTGGCATTTACACGATGTTTCGGCCAGTCAGGTGTTACTGAGCCTTAAGTGCTGGAAGGCACTTCACTTTCAGCCATGCACACTTAACGGGTTTCGTCGAGGGAATTCCCGGAATTCAAACCGAGGCCTTCTAATTTTTAGTGTATGGCACTCCCAATCACTGGGCTGCTCTCAGAGGACTCATAGTACAAAGTTATTAATTTTGTAAGTAATCTTCCTCCTGCTTTGCACAAACCTATCATAATAAGTGGGCATAATCCTTTGTTTACAATTGACCAAAGCGCACGCACGCACGCACGCACGCACGCACGCACGCACGCACGCACGCACGCACGCACGCACGCACGCACGCACGCACGCACGCACGCACGCACGCACGCACGCACGCACGCACGCACGCACGCACGCACGCACGCACGCACGCACGCACGCACGCACGCACGCACGCACGCACGCACGCAGAGAGAGATGAGAGAAGAGAGAGAGAGAGAGAGAGAGAGAGAGAGAGAGAGAGAGAGAGAGAGAGAGAGAGAGAGAGAGAGAGGAGAGAGAGAGATAGAGAGAGAGAGAGAGAGAGAGGAGAGAGTAGAGAGAGAGAGAGAGAGAGAGAGAGAGAGAGATATATATATATATATATATATATATATATATATATATATATATATATATATATATATATATATATGCATATGAACTGTGATATTCATTCCATTTCTAATAAAACTCAACCAAAAATCAACAAAAGTTTTGGTTGAAAATCTTACTTATTTGCACCAACTTTTCTTGAACCAAACTCACACCTGACACTAATTTCTAACAGTAATCTGTGAATCAGATTAAGCTCAGCTCTATTTGCCTTCATTTGTATATGTTTTTGCATCCACCCAACTGCAACCAAGCATAAGTCTGGCTGGAGTATGGCATGATAATGCTCCCCCAACTATTGAAGTTCATCCAACTGACAAGCTATGACAGGGCTAACTCCTCAATATTGGCATTGCACTTTAAAAAAAAAACAACAAAACATGAATCAATAGTGACAACTGGTGGCCTTGCCAATATGAAGCTGTGCATGTTGCCTATTACCAATAGAAAGGAAATTCAATGCAGTTCTAATCACTGGTTTGACAGGTCAGAGGAAATTTCCACTTGGGATGGTTAAATAGACTTCAGTTCTGAAAATATCTTCTGTTCTTGACAAAGCAAGGTAATGTTATAGTTCGATAAAATGGGTCATGCTTGATAAATGCAGCTAAAATGCCTCTTAGACCCAAAACAAAATATATCCCTGGCTGAGGCAATTCTTGAAAACCCCAAACCCCTTATATTCAAGTGATGCTCTTTTGCCCACTGTAGGTCAGTAGGTTACAACAGACTCAAACCCAGTTCACTTATCATACAATGAAAAAATGTAAATCTCATCTTACTCTTAGCATCAGTCTAAGGGCAATCAGTTCAAGTAATAGCATCATTTCAGTTTCAAGCTGAACAAAACTTCATTTGTTAGAGTTCCTTGCAAAGGGTAGCATGTAGCATGATGAGGAAACTATGCCATAGCTTGACACATCAAGATATATTCCTTGCTACCTGACACTAATGTGGACAAAGGATTAGGCATCATTAAGTTGGTAGTGCTACTGAAGCTGATGGATTCTGACAACTCATCAATATATATATATATATATATATATATATATATATATATATATATGTATGTATGTATTTCAATATTGTCCCAAGTAGCATATTTTATGGGTTCAGCATATAAATTCTTGACAGATGACAACAAAAAGCAAAAACCAAATCCACAATGTTTACTTTTAAACATCAATGCCTACTTATATCAGCTACAATACTTGGCATGGAGACAGTATCAACTCTTCAGGTTGTAATGGCATTCACCTCAATACTTAAAATGGCCACCTGTTCGCATATACTGCATATAGCAGGACATTTATTGCATGCATGCTGAACATTTTCCTTGACTTCAAAAAAGGGTGACCCTGTTTGAACACCATATTTTAATGCTTGGAATTTAGCCTAGTAATGTATCTTTCTATAGTCACCATTCTGAATATGACACTATCACAGCTACTCCAGGAAAATTCAGGTTATCATGTTAACTATCTATTTTTCTCCTTGTTTCTTCCACCTATGACACAAGAATTGTTATTCTAATTTACAATGTCAGAGTGATAGTGGAATATAGAATAGGTTTTCCTTGAGCCATGAAATGCCAGCACAGCAGTAACATGTCTTACAATGTCTGCATGTTGTTTATTGGTTGCTTGTGTATGAACACTTCAGATATATTTTACCTTTGCTTCCATAAGTTGATTGATATTATATTGAAAATATGTCCTGAGCAGTCACACTGACAAATACATTCACAACTTTTCATATTTACTGGTCATCATCCACATTTGTGCCTCATGCTACAAGATTATTTTGTTTATCAACTGACATTTTGTCACCAAAAATCATAATCCTACAACATGAATATTTTAGACACCTTCTCATCTTAGCTAAAAAATACAATAGTCATGATGCCAAAAGAATCAGTCAGCATTGGCCTGTCACACTGATGGCATGATACTGATACATTAATATCATCCAACAGGTCAACCAGCACCGGATTTTTCAAGACTGACTTTTTGCATGCTGTTTGCTGAGCTAACATGGCAGCAACACATGATGTATTCATGTGGAAGGAGTGTGAACATGACATGTGACATTAGGTTCCATCTGGACTATAGGCTGCAGATGGGACTGGGTAGGGAGGTCAGTCAGGGTGGTTATGCTAGGTTACATTACATTAGGCTAGGAATTTGGATTAAATCAGGTTAAGTTAATCAGATTAGATGAGGTTAGCTTGTATTCTGGTCCTCTGCCCTACTTTTTGGAGATAAGCAGGAAAATGCCCCAGGTACTCCCAAAGTACCCAACATATGGGTGCCTTTCCCTGATTTGACCCACTTTCTCATCCAGCTCTGAGTTTTTTGAAACATCTCAAATGAGAAGACATTTTTTAACCATCCTGGTCTCACTATGTATGCGCTTTTTGATGTAAATGTAGGATCATTAAAACCATTGCCTTCCACCAACTTAAAAAATTAAGTTCCAACACCGATAATATACGAAATAGGACTAATGCTGGAACAGCTTTATCCGAATCAGCTACATAAATCCTCTACATATAATTGCAAGATACGTCTGAAATAAATGAGCATGTTATGCATCAACACACCCCTTACCTGCTACGCGCGAGCCGAAGGCCGCTATGCGCGCCCAAACACGCTCAAAGAACTCGGTAACTGCCGAACGTCTGTCAGTGTAACCGCCGAACCGAAATCACGCGCGTTGGTAGGTTATGCGCATTATTTGCCTCATTGGCCGAAATTCTCTTTGGACACAGCGCAACTAAAATATCAAGCCATGGGTATTTGATGATGAATGTGCCGAAGCAGAGGTGTGGTTTTCTACCCATCGGGGCGAGGAGGGGGACTTTAGATCCAACTTGGACTCCAGCCCCCCAACTTTGAGAAGAAAGGCGGCGAAATACAGAGAGAAATACGTTTGTTGGCATGTTTGGGGCAATTTGTTATTTTTGCACTGTTACTGCCCCAACTCATAATTCGAAACAACGTCCATGTGCTCAAGTCGCCAAGCGTGTCGCTGGGGTGTCTGCTTAGTCTCATCTAGAGGCCCGGCTCCTGGTCAGGAGATACGCCCGCCCCGTGGCTTAACCAGTCTAAGCGCCTACGTGCCAACATTGAACATAACCGTGGCGGAGTGCGTGGGTTCGATTTGCTGTAACGCTCGTTATTTACCCCTGGCTGGAATGGCCTGCGCCTGGTGGCAGCGGCCAATCACGTCAGATCAGGCCATGGGGCGGGGTGGAGCGGGCCGGGCATTGCGGCACGTCTGTCCTTTGCTCCACCAGTTACGCCGTTGGACTGGAATCGCGCAGTCGGAAGGTAGTTTCGTATCTCCGATTGCATCCGTTCAGGGTCATCACAAATCCATAAAGACAAAGCCTTTCTTTAGTACGTCACCTACAAACCATTCGGTTCCTGCCGGATGGCATCGAGAGGGAATCGTCAACATAAAACATAACCTACGCGATGTGACTATATTTATGGAATAGAAGAATTAAAGCCCTGCATGTTCATCAGCGTGGTGGCACTCCTCACTGAAGTCAAGTGAATATAGCAGTGACTTTCTGAGGCGCAGCGAAAAAGTTGCAGACAGAAAACGGGAGATCCGTGGAGGTTCCCTATATTGACGAGGGTACCTGTTACCCTTTCCTGGGAGTTAATGACCATCTCACCAGCTTTGATAGCAAAATCAGTAAAATTCAAGTGTCCGTCCGGTTCTGAGGCAGGTTTGGCCACACCATCTCTTATCAGCCTCCCTCCCACAATGTGAAGTAAATACAACCCCATGGTCTGTTTCAGGTTGTCATATTATGACAAGCTGCAAGAACGTATTCACTGTAAAGACGGAAGTACCGTCAATGATGTGGTCTCAACCATGCCGTCACAGACCCAGATCACACGCCGTACACAGACGTCACGTACCAAACACACGACCTCGCAGCAGAAAGAACCCATCGGCCGACACAGCCACGAGCTCTGCCGGGGGCAGAAGCCGGCCCAGCTGCAACAATGCCTCTCACGGGACACACAGTACCACTACCCGACCGCAGCGGTCGGCCGCCGCTCCACCATCACGTCTCTCCACACACGGCGACGACGCGGTCCACCAGCTCGGCCTCCTCGAGCAGCACGCGCTGCTCGGCGTACAACAGCTCGGCGCGCGGCAACCGGCCTGGTGCCGGCGCCGGCGCCGCCTCCCGTCCGAACACGAGCGCAGCCGGGTAGCCGGCGCGCCGCGCCTCACGAACACGCTGCCCGATGGTCAAGTGGTCGCGGTCGTCCAGCACCACGTCACCGGCGAGGCGCGGGTGTCGGCAGAGTCGCTCGAGCGAGCGCAGCGCCCAGTCGGCGGCTGCCGCCTCCCGGCTGCCCCTCTGGAGCGAGAGAGCATGCTGAGGCCCCTGGCCGGGGGAATATCGACAGGGCGGGGGAGACGCGAACACGAGCGGTGGTGGTGGTGACAGCGTCCGTGAGACGCGCGTCTCAAATGTAATCAGTAGAGCCGAGTGAGCAAAGCAGCGTCTCATGCCCGCCTGCGAGGGCGGCTTCATGCCTTTCACTGGAATTGAGCGCAACAACGAAAGACCTTTCACGAATACCATTTTCAAGCACCAGTTGCGCTCATTTCATGCGTGGAAACATGCCACTACCACAGTCCCAACACTCCTCCCAGCTCCTCCTCCCCAACTGTTTTTTTTACCCATGAGAACAAACCAGCAAAATTCGGACATAAGCCCACCACGAATTAAGAAACACGACGGTCCAATGAGGCGGTACACTACGGCGCCTGATTACCCCCCGCCCTCGGCCGGGCCGCTGGCCGCGGACCTTGGGCGTGACGACGCACAACTTGTAGGGCGCCAACCCCCCGCCCTCGGCCGGGCCGCTGGCCGCGGACCTTGGGCGTGACGACGCACAACTTGTAGGGCGCCAGCTGCGCGGGCCAGCTGAGGCCGGCGCCGTCGGCGGAGCGAGCCTCGACCACGGCGGCCAGCAGCCGGCTCAGACCGATACCGTAGCAGCCCATGTGGAGCGGCACGCGGGCCTCGCCCGGGCCGCTACAGCAGGCGCCGAACACCTCCGAGTACAGCTGGCCCAGCAGGAACGTATGCGCCACCTGTCCGGCAAACGGAGTAGGGCGGATCAGAGAGCGGCTTCGAAAGCATCTCTTTATCGGCAAATACTTGTTTGCTTGGGCTAGTTGCATTATGCGTAGCCAACATCCACGTCACAAGCACACCACAGACCGGGCCACAAGGCGGGTGATCCGCCGCCGCGTGCCCGCCGTCGACGTCACAACTATCACCCTCAAGATATCTGCCGCACGTCTCCACGCCGCCGGCGCGCGTACCTCAATGCCCGTGCGATCGTGGAGTTCCCGGCCGCACGCCTGGCAGAGCTCGGCGCGCGCGCCGGGCGCCGTCTCGCGCTGGTCGCGCAACACCTCCAGGTTGACGGACGCCGGGCAGTCGGGCTGCTCGCACTCGGGCTGCACGAGCACGCGGTCCTCGCCGACCGGCGCCAGCACGTGGAACTCGTGCGACAGACGGCCGCCCATCAGTCCCGAGTCGCCGCGGACTGTGCAACGGCAGGGCCGGCCGTCAGACGGAGCAGAGTCACACGGGACAGTCGGCCGTACAGACGGGGCGGAGTCACACGGGACAGTCGGCCGTCCGACGGGGCGGAGTCACACTGGACAGTCGGCCGTCAGACGGGACAGAGTCACACGGGACAGCCGGCCGTACAGACGGGGCGGAGTCACACGGGACAGTCGGCCGTCAGACGGGACAGAGTCACACGGGACAGCCGGCCGTCAGACGGGACAGACTCACACGGGACAGCCGGCCGTACAGACGGGGCGGAGTCACACGGGACAGTCGGCCGTCAGACGGGGTGGAGTCACACGGGACAGCCGGCCGTCAGACGGGACAGAGTCACACGGGACAGCCGGCCGTCAGACGGGGCGGAGTCACACGGGACAGCCGGCCGTCAGACGGGGTGGAGTCACACGGGACAGCCGGCCGTCAGACGGGACAGAGTCACACGGGACAGCCGGCCGTACAGACGGGGCGGAGTCACACGGGACAGTCGGCCGTCAGACGGGGTGGAGTCGCACGGGACAGCCGGCCGTCAGACGGGGCGGAGTCACACGGGACAGCTGGCCGTACAGACGGGGTGGAGTCACACGGGACAGTCGGCCGTCAGACGGGACAGAGTCACACGGGACAGCCGGCCGTACAGACGGGGCGGAGTCACACGGGACAGTCGGCCGTCAGACGGGACAGCCGGCCGTACAGACGGGGCGGAGTCACACGGGACAGCCGGCCGTCAGACGGGGCGGAGTCACACGGGACAGCCGGCCGTCAGACGGGACGGTGTCATATGAGGGGGTCAGCCTTCAGACAGGGAGGTCACCACAGCAACGACCGTCAAAGGTGCGTGATGTACATACTTCTAATAAAACACAGGCAGGACCAGACAACGTTGCAACAGAACATAGCCGCTTTGTAAATGGGGGGGGGGGGGGGCGTCGGCGGGAGCGCCACCTGTGTCACACCTCGGACGGCGGGGATTCCGAGGCGGAGGAACAGCGCCGTGTACGCCTGCACCACCTCTCGGTAGCTGGCGCGCGCAGCCTCCTCGGTCGCGTCGAACGTGTACAGGTCTTTCATCAGGAACTCCTTACACCTGGCGGCGGGTGGCAGACGCGACTGTCTGGGGTTACCCGGGTCGTGCGGTGGAGGTGGGCGTGCTGTGTCGGGTTATCATTCTCATGGCGGCCGGGAAACGCCACAGCTCGGTTCGCGATGCTGAATCTTTACACTCCTTTATAGGAAATAGCATTGGATGCATCTGCGGGCGGTGAATGAACTTGGGATGCAGAATTCATGCAGACATTACGACGAGCGTCCTTCTTCGCGTTAATGACACGTGTCCGAATCCCAGTCTACCGAGTACGAGGCAGCATCGCCATCCGCCCGGCGCGCACAGAAGAGGCCTCGTCGGGCGCCGGCGCCCGCCTCCTCACCGCAGCAGACCGAAGCGCGCCCTCTTCTCGTCACGGAACTTTGCCGTCACTTGGTAGAGGCGCAGTGGCAGCTGCCTGCTCGAGACGGGCGACACGGCCCCCACCAGCTGGGTCACCGCCTCCTCGTGCGTCTGGGACAGCGCACGGCGGCGGGTTACGACAGGAGCGGCTAACGGTCACGGCAGGGGCGGCTAACGGTCACGACAGGAGCGGCTAACGGTCACGACAGGAGCGGCTAACGGTCACGACAGGAGCGGCTAACGGTCACGGCAGGAGCGGCTAACGGTCACGACAGGAGCGGCTAACGGTCACGACAGGGGCGGCTAACGGTCGCGACAGGAGCAGCTAACGGTCACGGCAGGAGCGAATAACGGCCACGGTAGGGGCAGCCAGCGACTACGACAGGGGCGGCGTACGGGCTACGGCAGGAGCAGCGTGCGGGCTACGGCAGGAGCAGCAAACGGTCAAAGCAGGAGCGGCTAACGGCTGCGACAGGGGCAGCTAACGGCTACGACAGGGGCGGCCAGCGGCTACAACGGAGGCGGCCAGCGGCCACGCCAGGGGTGGCTGACGGTCACGGCAGTGGCGGCCAATGTACCTTGGACCGTTCACTAGATGTCAACTTTCCCAACATTACGCCGTCAACAAAAACAGCAGCAAAAACTCAATGTTTTCTCCATGGACCTACAGGACGCTCCAAGTCCACAGAAAATAGATAAACATCATTGAAGACCGTAGGACCCTTGGCCCGAAAACATAGCACCTGTTTAGAAGGGCATTATCTGATCAAGAAAACATGACCTGATCAGCGTTCGCTGCCTGGACCAATGGACGCCAAATAACGACAGGTAGTAAGGGGCAGGCATTTATGAGGTTACGATAGAGCTTTTGGTGCCGCATCATGTAGCAAGCATGTATCCGAACGAAATTTGATGCGAACTTTAGGACCAAAAATATACTTCACTGCATCACACCTACAAAATTAACAAGAAGTACATCATTGTACAAAGGCCCATTACTCTCACTTTGAGACGAGGATTTCATGAAACTGGATCAGTACACAATCGTTCACTCGGATGCAAATGACAAAGTGTTTGACTTAAAAAAACAACTATCCTTGAAAAGGTAGGAAGCACCAAAGAAAATCCAGCAGCAGCCGATGGTCTAAAAGGAAGCTGAAGGCAGCTTAATCATCCTTTCCACGAGTGAGTTACCACTGGTTCCCTCCTGAAGGCAGAGTACGTGTCCCTTTACGTCGCCCTGTGCACCTGGCCAGCACTGGTCTGGGCGGGAGGGGACTGAGCGTCATGCCACGCGGCCGGCGCGGGTCAGTACCGGGCTGAGAACGAACCGGTGGCCACTCCTGTCCTCCACCGTCATCAGCTCGGCACCCATCTGTTCCGCCCTGCCTGTCGAGGAGCGCGCGGTCAGGACAGGAGGTCCCATGAATCCCACGGCTCGGAGTGTACTAGTCAGTGAATCACCACAACGACAATTGATCGATTATTGCCACGTGGGCCAACTGATCGAAAGGAGCGAAGAATGTTCACTGGTGAGTCGCATGCATATATTGAGCCTGCTGCCGCACGATTGCACAAGTGCAAGCCAAGCAAGAGAAAATATTGCAGCACAATGGATGGTCAGCTTACCCTCCTCCCTGGTATCATCAACTAATTCATGACATCAACATGGCATCATGGCATGGCATCAACTAATTCATGAGTACTCCATAATCCGCAGCACATCACACATATCACATATCATCGCACCAGTCTTTGTACAAAGATTCCGTAGAAAAAGCCACAGATCTCCCTCCAGTGAACATCCAACGGGTTCTCAGCCAGTTTGTCAGTCTCTGCCTTCTTCTTGCGAGCGACACATCCACACAAATATCTCCCCTCAACCTCAGTCCGTCTCTGTGGGGCATCATACACCATACATTTGAGCATTCAGGGTGCCAGAAACCCACGTCACCCAGCACCCACCATTCCGCTGTCAGACTGTGTCACACAACCCACCCGTCTGTTTCCAGAGAGTGTCGCGCACCAGGGTCGGCATGGTCAGCTGGCCGGCGCCAATAGCCGCCATCTCCTGGTGGACAGCGCTCACCATCTTGTCCAGCACGCGCTGACAGAGCGGCAGGATGTGGAACACGCCGCCGGACGACTGGTGGATGTATCCTGCCGCCGTCAGCAGCTGCCCGGGACATCAGGGAACGCTGGTCATCACACAGGGGACACCAGCGGATGGCAGTCACCACACAAGGGCTACCAGGGGACAACAGCCACCAGACAGGGGATACCAGGGGACGGCGGTCACCACACACAGGACACCAGCGGACGTCGGTCACCACACCGCGAACAGCAGAGGACGCCAGTCACCACACACAGGACACCAGCGGACGCCGGCCATCGCACAGGGGGTCACCACGGGGGGTACACCAGCGGACTCCGGTCATTACACAGGTCACCACGCGGGGTACACCAGCGGACGCCGGTCATCACACAGGGGGTCACCACGGGGGGTACACCAGCGGACGCCGGTCATCACACAGGGGGTCACCACGGGGGGTACACCAGCAGACACCAGTCATCTCACAGGGGATACCAGCGGACGCCAGTCATCTCACAGAGGACACCAGCAGACGCCAGTCACCACACAGAGGGTCACCACAGGTGGTAAACCAGTGGACGCTGGTCACCACACAGGGGACGCCAGCGGACGCCAGTCATCACACAGGGGACACCAGCAGATGCCAGTCATCTCACAGGGGACACGAGCGGACGCCGGTCATCTCACAGGGGACGCAAGCAGATGCCAGTCACCACACATGGGACACCAGCAGACGCCAGTCACCACACAGGGGACACCAGCGGACGTCAGTCACCAGACAGGGGACACCAGCAGACGCCAGTCATCTCACAGGGGACACCAGCGGACGTCAGTCACCAGACAGGGGACACCAGCGGACGTCAGTCACCAGACAGGGGACACCAGCGGACGTCAGTCACCAGACAGGGGACACCAGCGGACGCCGGTCACCACACAGGGGACACGAGCAGACGCCATTCACCACACAGGGGACACCAGCAGATGCCAGTCACCACATAGGGGACACCAGCAGACGCCAGTCACCACACAGGGTACACCAGCGGACGCCGGTCATCTCACAGGGGACACCAGCGGATGCTAGTCACCACACAGGGTACACCATCGGACACCGGTCATCTCACAGGGTACACCAGCAGACGTCAGTCACCAGACAGCTCACACCACTCTCGGGGTTGGACAGACCTGTGTGGTCCCACCCTGCCACAGGCTGTATATGCCTAATGCCGGGACCACAGTGCACAGCACCATGCACAAACAACTGCGAGCATTATATGTGATAAAGCCTGTTCATAGTCCAAGGACAACCAATGCTGTGCTGAGATTAGCATCAATTTTTGCTGTAGAGGTGATGCCATATTGCTGCAGAACATACTGTGTGCTGGAAAATGTCCAATTGCAATTACTTTTCATATAGTACCAATCTTGGATATGATAGAATGTCTTGAAGTACTGTACCACAAAATCAATGCAACATGCTGGGCAAACACACAGGAGCATCCAGACAGTTTTTGGGTGCTGAACACAACAGAAAAACTCACATAATGCAACATACCTCAAAGCTCCTGGAGACAACTTCATCACCTCTTCCTGATAGTTTTTTAGTGGCCTGGATGGGTTGGAAGATTTGGCTTACTCTACTAAACGGTTCAGCCCTTGCATGCAGACTTCTTCTGAGCAGCATGTGTGGCAATCTTTGCCATGCCATGTGATGTGCATTGGGAAGAAAAAGGAACATCTTCTGCAGATCTTCAGTGGGACTGTTCCCATCCACAGCACATCTGTAACAGCCACAAGGATAGTAATGCCACAGAAACAATTTTTGTCATCAAAATACCAAGGATTGAAAAGCAAGCTTGTCTACCAGCTTATACATCTGTTGGGAACAAATGCAGCACTTTGCAAAAACAAGTGGTGTGCTGTCACAAAAATAATGAAGTACTCAGTATTGTGGCATGGTGATTACTCATATAATTCAGTGGTGTGATAATCTATTCAATCATGAACACAAAGTTATTCTTATTTTGCTCCTCTTACATCATCATGTTGCTCATCCAGTCACTTTGCTCATGTTGCTCATGCTTGTGTTGATCTAATATTTGCTGTCACAAATTCAAATAAATACCCACCCACTTACATCAAACATCAAGTCCAGTTGTAACGACACAGCAAATGCACTTTAACCTCTCACTTTTCTTTTGGCCTCACCCCAGGCACTACAAGATCCCAAGCATGGAAGAAAGCTCTGATTCTGGCTTTGAGGACTAGGGTACTAAGGGCCCCAAAGAGCACTGGTATTTCAACTAGTTTCAACTAAACAACTGTTAAGGTGCTGTTCATAAGTCATCAGGCCATGTGGTAAGGACAGGTCAAAATATTAAATGAGGGCCGGGCCCACTATAGAAAAATCATACTGCTCCTTGTCCTTACTAGGTTATAGTGTCATCAGCCCCCTTTGCCAGTGGGAGTTGCATGCTTAAATAAATTCCTTAACAGTTACTTAATGGTTAATAAGCATTAAGGTCATGAACAGCCATACCTTCACAGTTGGTATTTCATCATGTTTTGAATCTAAGACTTATAATATATATATATATATATATATATATATATATAACACTTGCCTTATCTTATCTACAGGTTTTTGCAATTTTAAAACTTTTAAGGGGGATCCCAAACTGATTCAGTATGCTGGGGGGTGAGAATTAAGTTCACAGTAGGAAAGACTCTAGTTGCCCATCCTCATAGCTCAGCTGGCTGGAGCTTTTCATTCACCCATCAGAGGTGGAGTGAATTTAAGTTGCTCAAGGCATTCATTTATTGCCTCAACCCACTCTTATTTGCCACCCCCCAAAATGTCAGATGATCTCAGAGGGTGGGACTGACTGTGCTGTGCTGCAGCACATTACACATTCACCTCAAAATTTCTCTGTTGACCTGGAATGGCATGATGCCATAGTGGGGTCCGGACTCATACAACAAGCACTGCCTAGCATACAGGCTGATCTCAGAAGTTGAACCAATCAAAAGCTTGAACTGCATAAATGCACTTATCAAAAGTGCACTTTCTAAATTTAGCCCCATCTGCTTTTTGCTAGGGACTGGCCAATACTGGTTTCCTTAGACATCAACAGTGACCACAAAACAGCAGATTTTTAGAAGGAGAAAAAGAGTCATAATTCTACTCTACTTTCTGGGCAATAAGCAAACAATGGTAAGCTCCAACCTTTCCTCCTGTGTGGCCTTGATAAACCAGCCTGGCCCTCATTATGCATGAACTGAGCAGTGAGACAGTTATATTCTTATTTCTGGTGCAACATGACAATCCCATTGTTTTCTGACATATTGCTGTCAGTAAGGTGTGCTCTAAGGTGGTCAACTGACTTTGACAGATATTTTCTGGGAGGATGTAGGTAGATCAAACTACACCTATATATTTCGCACAGTTGATCAAGAAAAAATACCAAAACCTCTATGAGCAGCCAGCAATACAACACAGGGCCATGCAACCCTAGTGGGCACCAACTGATGTCAGTGTTACACACTGGGAAGCAACTGCCTTTGATGCCATATAGTAATGCTTGAAAAACATAGTCATGTTCATGTCATGCAAAGTATCTAATTTTTTCTCCACTGCATGTTCTATCTGCATCATGTACTTTGTAGTTGATGTTTTGCCTTCACTGTATAAATATAATGCTTGGCTGTCCAATGTGACAAACAGCCTAGATGCCCTTATGTCTTATGTGTATCCCTTGCCCTTTGACGTGAAACATTAAAAATGATTTAGTGGATCTTTTCAAATAAACTGAACTGATACTGGGCATATACTGTCGCTGCTGTCTGGCACCATTTCTAATAGCACCACAGTAAAGCTGGCAGACAATGAAGAACAAGCTGAAGAAGCTTAAAGCACAGTCAAACATATTCTTTACAAAAAAATCGTTACGGCAGAGTATACCAGCTCATGGCTCTTACATTCGGCCCAACCACTCTGAACTTTACCCTTGTAGTTTGAAATCCGAAAAACAAGGAACGCGAAATATTATCCAAGACCATATAGTTCGCCAAGAGCTAACTATCGTATCAGTTGCGTCGATATGACCTAAAAACTGGAATATGGTGGCACAATCAAGCATCCATATTTACAAACTTTTATCTGCTTATCTTCTGTAGCACTCCTTGGACCTTCACTGCACAGTGTAAGTTACAGCCCTATCGAGCCAGTGATATTTTACTGAACAGACTGAAGAGTCTAGGCAATGATACTTAATAGGCTGAAGAGTTAGGTTTTTACCTTTGTAGCTACAGAGTCCTGAGAGTATGTATTTGCAAATGGTTATGTTAAAGGACAGCTGATCTACCCTACGGTTACGACAGCGCCTCGATTACGACTAATGAACGAGGCCACTTGCTGGGAGCAGGAGCGGATCCAGAGAAAGGGGCACAGAGGGCAAATTCCCTCCTCCCCCTCCCCCCCCCCACACTTAGGTTCCGAGGGGCACAAAGGGTTCCGCGGGACATACAATTTAAGGCTTGATTTTAGCTCCCGAAGGACCCGAAAGGCCCATCGGAGGTCCCCTTTAGAGCCGAATCCGCAGGGCCGAGCACTTCAGTGCCATCCAGAGGTCTCTGCGTGCTAATGAGTCGATAGGGGCCTATATGGCGGTCAGACACAACCAATTTCTCACCGTCTGCTCCGTGACGGGATGGGTCTTAGAGCCCATCCCCTAAGCAGGGACAAAGCAGGAGCCAGCGATTTACATTGTTCAGAGCCCCAGCGTCCTTCAGGGACCCCACAGTGCCTAAAAGGGGGCTCTGTATTGGTAAGGGGCCGAGTCAGCCACAGGCAGTGTTCGAGGAGGCCAAAAGAGCCTGCAGGACCCACCGGACCAAGGGTCCGATTGAAGGGATTACGGGCCCAAAGCGCTGGTCGAGTCTTATTCAGGGTCTCCATCCTGCAGAAACAGACCCTCAAATGACATTCAGAGATCCCATTGTGCCGATCGGGGGCCTCGTGAGTCGATATGGGCTTGTATGTCGGTCAGGCACCACTAGTGCCACGCGACTAGTTCCATGTCTATATCGGCCTAAGGGTCCACTTCCCAGTCAGCTATCAAGCCGGGGACCGCGATTTGCACTGGTCGGGGCACCTGTATCTGTCAGGGGCCCGCAGTGCCTAACAGGGAGTCCTGTGTTCACAAGGGGCCCGAGCCGACAAAGGGCAATATTCGATGAGACCTGAAAAGGGGGCCGGGCTGTCCAGCCGAACCTATGATCAAGGGCTCGGATGGAGTACATAGGGGTCCGAAGGACAGGACGTAGGTTACATCAGTCAGATGCACTGTTCGAGGACCCCTGAGACAATGCGGGTATCTCGGTCGGCCAGAGACCACAAGCACCGAACGATGGCTCCCTGCCAGGCTGAACCCTGGGGGCCCGTTTATCAAGCAGGAGCAAGGGCGGGGGGCACGAATTGCATTGGTTTGAGTCCCCGAAACAATGGTTGGGGCTCCTGCGTCGGTCAGGGGCCTACAGTGCCCAGCAGGGGGTCATGTGTTAGCTGATGGTCCCGAGTCGGTCGGCTTTGTTTGATGAGGCCAAAGAGGGGACGAAGGGCCCCTCGTGACCAAAGATCAAGCGCCCAGTTGGGAGGCTGAAGGGCATGAAGGGCTGGCTGCAGGTCACATTTAATGCCCCCACCCGTAGGACCTCAAAAGTCAGTGGGAGGGTATGTTGTACCATCTGGGGACCTCTGAGACATAGCGTTCCTCTATTTCGGCCAGAGATCACTAGCACCGGACAGTCGGCTCCATGGCGATTCGATATTTTGGGGCCGATTACGCATGCAAGGACAAGGCCGGCCCACGATTTGCATTGGTCGGTGCCCCTACAACAATGCGTGGTCCCCGTATCGGCCAAGGGTCCAGTACCTAGCAGGGTATTATGTGTCAATAAGGGGCCCCGGGACTATCAGGGAAGCATTTGCTCAACAGGGACGGCGACGGGCCCCCAAGTGACAGAGGACGTCTTGCGTTGGGCAGACCTCCGGATCGACCGGGGGGATCCGCCCCGTGTCGCCAGAGTTGCAACCGGAAAACACCCCGCGGTGGAACGGAATGGCCCTTCAGCTCCCGACCGGGAGCTACAATGTGCCTCCTAGCGTTCTACTCAATAGGCCCCTTGCCCGGAAGTAAGCGGTTTCAACGGCGTTTAAAAAGAGGGTCAAAATGAGTTCAAAAACAAACGAGGCCATCCCACGGTGGCTTGAGAACGTTCATTCTTCTCCAGAACCGATTAGCGAAACAATAGAAATCAAAAGGTTTGAGCCTGCGCTCCTGAAACCACAGGAGCCGGGACAGCAATGGCCTGGGCTGCAGTTCCCGGAGAACAAAGGTTTGAGCTTGCGCACCTGAAACCACAGGAGCCGGGACAGCAACGGCCTGGGCTGCAGTTTCCGGAGAACAAAGGTTTGAGCCTGCGCTCCTGAAACCACAGGAGCCGGGACAGCAACGGCCTGGGCTGCAATTCCCGGAGAACCAAATGGCGTTGGCTACTGCAAGTGCCAACGCGGGCCCCGCGCGAAAGTGACCGTCCTGAAATGATGGTTCCGAATGTAATGCCAATGTTCTGGCTGCGCGAATGCACAGAGCCCTACCTCCTTTGGGCCCTGAAGGGACCTATAAGTTCCGAAGGGGTCCGTAGCTGGTTACACAGACACAGTTTTTAATGCACAAAATTAGTCCGTACCGTTCAAAGATAAGACTGGATGTATATCTTTTTCACAACTTTTAGGCTGTCCTCTGGACAGACAAACAGCTACATCAACATAAAAATGGAGATTCTACTTTTACCACCAGATTCCAGCTAGCACCACTTGCCGGTACTGTAAATGCTAATTCGTTCTTAACATCGATCTAAAAATCTCATCGGTGAAATATACGTCCGAACTACCCTCTAGGTATACAATTTGATGTTCTAAAGGGTTCAGAGGTGCTTCTTTCAGAAGCGTCATCATTTTCGTCCGCCCGTTGGCCACAGTTCAGTGTTAGCAACGGGACCAACACCACGCGGCCTACGGAGACTGCAACGTTTGGAGTGGATATTTTCGCTACTATCGATTCTGACTGAATGTTGAACGTTTCCAGTAAAACGTGGCTTGTTCAAGTTAATACAACTCGTTGACCCATTTTTACCGGCGATATACGCTCACCCTGTCCCTAATATTCCTGTAGAACCCAGATAGAAATGTGGCGAAGCGCCTGAGTTTTATCGCCTGTAGTCAATCGCCGACCTGCAGTCAATCCGATCGTCAGGAAGCCCTTCACGTTGCCTTTGACCCTTTTGCATTTGCTCCCAGAGCCCTGTGCTGTTGCTGGAGCCCTTTTCGCTAGCATGTCGGGACACTCTGGTCAATCAGCGGCCTTCCACAGATTCTTTCCATCCGTCCAAAAGGCTCTATACGCAACAGCCGATGGCCCAGATGTTAACCTGCCGGCGTATTCACGGTATGCTCATCGGCCCTCTCCATTGGTTTAGGGCCATTCTAATTCTCTATCACTTGATTAGAGCCATTCGCTCTTGTCGGGGCGCATGTCTTAGCCTGCTTGGGCACACCCCGTCGTTCGGGGCCCTCCAAATTGGGTCCTGGGTACTTTTTATTGGAACAGAGGGCCCTTCACACGTGTCGGGGACCCAGCCGTTAACCTGCTCGGGTACACTGGATTGCTCGGGGCCCTACACATAGGGTTCTGGTATTTGAATGTAGGGACCTGCGCCCGTCAGGGGCGATCCGATTGCCTGCTTGGGTACACTCGATCGGTCTTGGGTACTTCTCATTTGAATGGAGGACCTTACTCTGTTGTCGGGGGCCCTATCTGCTCACGTGCATTGGCGCGCTCGATCGTTCGGGGCCCCCTACATTTTGTAGTGGGTCTTCTTACTTAAAGCAGGGTCCTATACTCTTATCGGGCCCCCATTTTTTTAACCAGCACATTCGATCATTCCTGCGCTTTCCACATCGTGCCTTAGGTGTTTCTTATTTTAATGGTTGGTCCTATGTTCTTGTTGGCGCCCCATCCATCTGTCAAACTCCTCGGTCCCGTGCCGGATCCAGAGGAGGGGGGGGGGGGGAGGGGGGATCTCGGAACCTTGCTCCCTTGTGACCCAAGGGGACCAGGAGGCTCCGAAGGAGCCCATAATCGGATGAACGGACGCAGTTTTCTAATACATAGCACAACAAAACTTGACGTATGTTGGCCTCCAGACGACCAAGAACAGTTGCGAGGGAAGGGGAGGAGCCTGTGAGCAGGCAGCTTGACACGCGCTCGGGTGGGAGCAAATTGACTCGCTCCCCCACAAAGGGCTTTCCGGAATGTTTTCTGAATGGCGCGGCGTAGCCGAGCGAAATGTAGGCAATTAAATAACGGATCGTTTGGCATCAAACATTTAGATATAGTTTGTCAGGTTGCTGACCTACGGCAGGTCAAAGTCAGGCCATGGATTCAGCGAAGTTGATTTCTTGAGTGTTACACGAAAGCACATATATCTGAGACATTTTCTAAGGCAACACAGCTATTGAATCGCCAAATTCCATTGACCTAGGGTCGGGTATGAAGGTCAGCTCAAGGTCAAAACCAGCCTCTTTTATTATTCTAAAGCTTGCTGTGTTGGGGGATTTCTGGTGCTCATTTCGAATCTATTGATAGCAAAAACCGCTTTATACATCGGCGACAAACTTCTAACAGGTCAAAACAAGTCACTGATCTATAGTGACCCGGGTCAACATTTTGGGCTCAGGAACACACATAGCGTAATTAGCGTAATTAACACACACACACACACACACACACATAGCGAAAACATAGCGTAATTTTGCCGTTTATTCAATTCCAAAACTCAAAGCAACGTAGTCTAATTTTTGGCCGCCACGACCTTATAAAGGTCAAACAAGGTCCCCGGCATTAAAGGGGTACGTGACCTGTCGATTGAAACAGATATATAGGTTCTGGAGATACTTTGGGGACCAACTTGGAGTTTGACCTTGTTTGACCTTGTTTGATC